CACACCCTCCACCAACCCCCCCCCCCCCCTCCACCCCCCCCTCCCTCACCCTCACCCTCCCCACCCACCCCCCCCCCCTCCACCCACTCACCCTCACCCTCCTCCAGCCGTCACCACCATCTCCTCCAGCAAGGACCTCCTCGCAGATGGTTCATACGGGCTCACTCTCTCTGGATCAGGCTTCTCCTGCATCGATGTCTCGGTCACCTTTGACGACTCTACCCTGGCAGACTCATCGCCTGATGCTTGCAACTCTACGCACATCGAGTTTACCTCGTTTGCCACACCGTCAAACGTCTCGCTCGACATCACTACCGCCCACATACACACAGCGGGCACGCCTGTCGTCTGTCCTATCTGCGATGACTTTGCCATCGATCCCACCATTACGGGCCTCTCCGTGGCAGAGCTCGATGGCCTTGGCCTCGTCGCCCTCACCGTGCTCGGTAATGGCCTCGGCGGTGTTTCGGAGCTCACCGTCGGAGCCGTTGCCTGTGAAGCCCTCTCCGCCATCTCCGAGACCTCAGTCACCTGCGATCCGGGCCCGCAGTCGGCCGCCTCGCCCTCGGTGCCTGTCGCCCTCGTCTCGGCCTCGCGTCCCTCGGGCTGCAACGACCTCGTCGACGCGTGCACCGTCGCCATCGTCTCCGCCGTTGCCGCCGTCTCCTCGTCGACCACTCTCGACGCAGACGGCTCGTCTATCGTCACTCTCTCCGGCATCTTTGACACCGCCATCGCTCCGGCAACCTACACCGTCGACATCGATACTTCCCCGGGACCCACGCCCTGCACTGGCTTTGCCGTCTCCTCGACCGAACTCAACTGCACCGCCGCCGCCGTCACCGCCGCACAGACCTCGGTCCCACTCGGGCTCGTCTCAGACGGCGTCTACATTCTCGACATGGCCCCGGCCGCCGTCGCTACCACCTTTACCTATCGTGCTGTCATCACCGCCGTCGCGCCGGCTCGCGTCGACGCTATCGCGCCTGCCGTCATCACCATCTCCGGTGCCGGCTTTAGCGCCTCGCCCTCGGTCTCCATCGACGGCGTCGCCTGCACCTCGCCCCTCGCCGCCGGTGACGGTCTCTCGCTCACCTGCTCTCCGGCTTCGGCATCGCCGACCTCGGCCGCAGCCCTGGCAATCACCGCCGCCGGCTCCCCCGCCGTTCACAAGTGCGCGTCGAGTCCGTGTGCCATCGCCTTTGCCTCGGTCGTCACCGGCGACTTTTCCTCCCGTACCTTTGCCACAGACGGCTCGTCCAACGTCACCCTTGCCGGCACCTTTGACTGCGCCCGCTCGTTTGACATCGATTTCTCCACAGGCACAGGCTGCTCCCACCTTTACTGCGCCCCGGACCACCTCTCCTGCGTCGTCGCCCCGCACTCCTCGGCAACCTCCACCGCAGAGATCTCCGCTGTCTCCGACGACCTAGCCGCGCTCACCTGCTCCGGCCCCGCCTGCGCGACTGACATCCTCACCTTTCAGCCGACGCTCACGGCCATCGCCCCGCCACGCCTCGATGCCCTTGGCCTCACCGCGCTCACCCTCACCGGCTCGGGCTTTGCTGGCACCGCGGCAGTCTCTGTCGGAGGCATCGTCTGCACCTCGCCAACCGTCAACGGCCCCGCCACCCAGCTTGTCTGCGATCCCGGCCCGCATCCCGCTCCCGCTTCGGCCGCCTCCGTTGCCCTCACCGTCAACGCTGTTCCTCCGGCATGCTCCGTCCCCGGCGGCTGCGTCCGCGACGTCATCTCCGCTCTCGATGCCGTCACCTCACCAACCGCCTTGCGCGCAGACGGCTTGTCAACGCTCTCGCTCTCCGGCATCTTTGACACCGCCATTCCGCTCGCCTCCTACACCCTGCATCTCACCACCTCCTACGGCGGACTCGACTGTCCGCTCTCCTCACTCACCACCACCGAGCTCAACTGCACTGCGCCCGCGGTCATCGCCGCAGACCCTGCCGTCGCCATCGCTTTTGTCGCCGACGGCTCCTACAATCTCACCGCAGACTCAGCCCTCGCCACCCCGCTCGCCTACGACGCCGTCATCGCCAGCCTCTCGCCGGCCACCCTCGATGTCGCAGGCTCCACCCTTCTCACCCTCACCGGAGCTGGCTTCGCCGGCGCCTCGCCGACTGCCGCCATCGCAGGCGTCAACTGCGAGTCGACAACGCCCAATGCCGGCGGCACCGAGCTCATTTGCGATCCGGCGCCCAACTCGGCAACCTCCAACGCACTCGTCACCGCTACAATTGCCTCCCGCCCGGCGCTGGATAGCTGTCCCGGCGGCTGCGTGCTCGTCATCCGTGCCGCGGTCAACGGCGCCTTCTCGCTCACCACCTTTGCCACAGACGGCTCCACCACTGGTGTCACCCTCGGCGGCTCTTTTGACTGCGCCCTCGCCCCGTTTACCGTCACCTTTGAGTCCGGCTCAAACTGCTCGGTCACAGCCTGCTCCTCCTCGCAGCTCACCTGCGATGTCGAGCCGGTCGCCTCGGCCACCAACGCCACCCAAATCGCCACCGTCTCTGACGCTCTCGGCGCCATCCCCTGTACCGGCCCGGCCTGTGCCCCCGGTGCCCTCGTCTTTGCGCCCACCATCTCCGCCGTCGCCCCGGCCTCACTCGACGCCATCGGCACCACCGCCGTCACCGTCTCCGGCTCCGGCTTCAATGTCGACCTCGCCGGCCTTGTTGTTGCCCTCGGCTCGGTCCCCTGCTCCACCTCGTACGTTGCGCCGGATGGCTCGCAGATCGTCTGCACCCCGTCCGCTGCACAGCCAGCAATCGGAGCCAGAACCGTGACCGTCACCACCTGGTCTGTTCCGGCCACATGCATCGCCACCTGTGACCTTCTCGTCCTCCCCTCGCTTGGCGCCCTCACCTCGGGCTCCGTCCTTGACGCCGACGGCTCCACCGCCCTCGTCTTCTCAGGCATCGTAGCCAACGCTGCCGACTACACCCTCGTCCTCAGCTCGGGCATCAACTGCACTGGCTCAGCGCCCTCGTCCGCCTCCTTCTCCTGCACCATCCCGGCCGTCGCCTCCGCCGCCTCGGGCATCTCCATCACCGCAGGCTTTGACGCCGACGACCTCGCCATCTTTCTCGCCCCCTCGGTCACCTCGGCCTCGCTCGCCATCCGCGCCGTCGTCACTGACGTCGTCCCGGCCCGTGTCGCCGCCGCAGGCGCCACTCCCATGACCCTGCACGGCTTTGGTCTCGTCGGCGCCGCCGTCGACGTCTGCTCCAGCGAGTCCGCCCTCGCCAACGGTACCCAGCTCACCTGCGCTTCCGTCGCTGCCGCGCCGGCATCGGCCGTCGCCGTTGCTGTCACCGCTGACGCCCGCGCCGCTGCCTACAAGTGCCCTGGCGGCTGCGTCTTTGACGTCGCCTCCATTGTCGACGGCGCTTGGTCCACCACAACCTTTGCCGCAGACGGCTCTACCGTCGCCACCCTCGGCGGCCAGTTTGACTGCGCCAAGACCTTCACTGTCGCTTTCTCCACCGGCTCCTCCTGCTCTACCCTCGGCTGCGCCCCGGCTGTCCTCACATGCACCGTGGCCCCGGTCGCCACCCCGACCGCCGCCGCCGAGCTCGCCACAGTCAACGACGGTGACGCCGACCTCGAGTGCACCGGCGCTGCATGCGCGCTCGACTCGCTCACCTTTAGGCCGGTCATCGCCTCCGCCAATCCTAGCGCCATCGCCCTCGACGGCTCTCCCGTCGTCACCCTGACAGGCGCGGGCTTTGGCGCTACTGACCTCGGCCTCGTCATTGCTGGTTGTGACTCGGTCTCGTGGACCTCCGACTCGTCCGCCACCTGTACCATGGCCGCTTCCTCGCTCGCCACCAACGTCACCCTGAGCCTCACCGCCGCTTCCGTCGCAGCCACCGCTCCCATCGACGTCCGCTACCTCGGCATCATCGACGCCGTCGCCGGCAACAAGGCCATGAGCCCGCCAGGGGGTGTTCAGTTCCTCCTCACCGGTACCTTTGACCCTGCCCGTCAAACCACGGCCTGGTTTGCCACCGATACCGCCGACTCGCCCTGCGTTGTCGACGCGCTCAACGCCACACACCTCTCCTGCACCGCCTCGCCGTTTGCTGCCGCTGGCTACTACAACCTCACCGTGAGCGATGGCTCGTCCATCCTCGCCTGTGCAGACTGCACTGGCTTTACCGTCACCGGCAACGTCTCCACCGTCTCCCCGCTCATCTCCGTCGACGGCGATGTCGAGTTGCTCATTACCGGCGGCGGCCTCGGCGCCGCACCCGGCGACATCGAGATCCAGGTCGACGGCGAGCTCTGCCCGCTCGTCGCCTGGTACTCGCCGTCGTCCGTCTCGTGCCTCACCACCCCCACCCGCGCTGCGCTAGGCGACGCCCTCACCGTCACCGTCCTCTCTGGCGGCATCCCGGCGGCATGCGTTGGGACCTGCACCACAAAGGTCGCGGCCAACGTCTCCACCGCCTCGCCCCAGTACCTGTCGTCGTCTGGCGGCGCCACCCTCACCCTCTCGGGCATCTTTGACTGCGCCCACACCTACACCGTCTCGCTTTGCTCCGGTGCCGTCTCGTGCTCCGCATCTTCCCTCTCCTGCGCCGCCGATCCCGCAACCTCCGGCTGGCCCTATCCCATCGCCGTCACCGACGACGCCGGCACCCCCGCCGTGAGTAGGCCATGGGTCGGCTACCGCGCCGACGTCTACCTCCCGGACAATCTGGAGCTCTCCGCCCTCGCCTCGGTCGCCTCCTCTTTCGTCGTCAACGGCGTCGGCATGACCAACGTCGCCGTCGCCATCGACTCGGTCGCCCTTGTTGTCACGCCGGCCAACGAGACCCTCGTCTCAGCAGCAGTCACTTCCGACCTGCTCGAGGCTGGCGCGGCCGTCGCCGTCGACATCGTCTCGGGCTCGCCCAACACCGACCTGCCGCACGTCTGCGCTTCTTGCACCGCACGCGTCGTACCTGAGATTCTCGACCTCACCCCGGGCATCGTCGACCTTCACGGCTCGCAGCCGGTCACCATCACCGGCGCCGGATTTGGCTCGCTCGCCTCCGGCACCTCCATCGACATCGTCTTTGAGGGCCACGCCTGCGCCGTCGACAACGCCGCATGGTCGCCCTCGTCTATCGTCTGCTCCATCGACACCTCTAGCCCGGTCTACGACGCCAAGGTTGAGATGCTTGTCAACGGCATTGTCGCCTCCACCGCATTCTGCGTCTCCGGCTGTGAGGTCGATGTCCAGGGAAACGTCACTGGCCTCTCCGCCCGCGACTTTGCCACTGACGGCTCCTCTCCGCTCCTCGTCGTCTCCGGTGACTTCAACTGCTCAGCCCCGTACGCAGTCGCCATCGGCGGCACCGCCTGCGACGCCCTCGTCTGCGCCGCTGACTCGCTCACCTGTCAGCCGGGCCCGCGCTCTGCCGCCGCCCCAGGCCTCGAGCTCGTCATCACCGGCGCCGCCAACGCCTCATGCCACGCCACCATCTGTTCCGGCCTCGCCTACCGCGGCACCGTCTCCTCCGTCGTCGGCGCAATCGAGGCCCGTCCCGGAGGCTCCATCCAGATCTGGGGCTCCGGCTTTGCTGCCGGTCTCGCTGCTTCCCTCGACGGCGTTGCCCTCAACCACCTCTCGTCCAACGCCTCGTATGCCGTCTTCCAGCTCACAGCCCCGCTCCCTCGCTTTGGCCTTGGTCTCCCTCTCTCCGTCTCTGCCAACGCCCTCGACGTCTTTTCCTGCCTCGGCTGCGTTGTTGACGTCCAAGGCGTCGTCGAGTCCGCCGCCCCGTCCGCCGTCGACATCGCCGGCAACATCCGCCTCACCCTCGACGGCTACGGCTTTGGCTCCGACCTCTCCCTCCTCAACGTCTCGCTAGCTGCCGCCCCGTGCAAAGACGTCGTCCTCGTCTCCACCACTCGGCTCACATGCGCGTACGGCGGCGCGGGCGTCGTGCCCGCTGCTGCCGTCGACATCGACTCCTTCCTCATCGAAGCTACCGCCGTCGACGTCGTTGCCTCTCTTACCGGCCTCGCCCCGCGCACACTCTCGGCCGCCGGCTCGCAGACCCTCACCATCACCGGCGCCGCCACCTCGTTCTCGCCCTCGAGCATCGCCTACATCGGGCCCTACCCCTGCGGCTACCTCTCTCACAACGACACCGCCCTCCTCTGCATCACCACCCAGATGGTCATGGGCGAGCGGAGCGTCGTCGTCAAGGACGCCGGCCTCGACTCGCTCTGCTTTGGCGAGTGCGCCGTCAATGTCACCGCCCGCCTCGACTACGTCCTCCCCACCCCGGTCCTTAGCGCCGGCGACGACATCACCGTCGTCGGCATCGGTTTTAACCCGTCCGGCCTGCAGGTCTCGCTCGACGGCCGCGCCTGCACCGCCGTGGCCGGCAACGACACACATGTCTCCTGCTCCGTCGCCAGCGGGAGCCACAACCTCGCCGCTGCCCTCGACGTCGTCGGCGGCGCCCGGCGCTCGTCGTCGGCGTTGTCGACGCCTATCTCATCGACATCGCCCCCATCACCTTTGCCGAAATCGGTGGCACTCGAGTCACGCTCGTCGGCCGCGGCTTTGACACCTCTGTCGCCGCCAACAACGTCGTCACCTTGGCCGGCCGGTCCTGCCCGGTCTCGTCCGCCACCCCCGCCCCGACGGCGCTGCAGACCTCGTCTGCGTCATGGCCATCGACGCCGTCGTCGGCCTGGGTCAGCCCATCGACCTCGTTATCTCGGGTGGCGTCTCGGCCGTCTGCGGCCGCGCCGGAGGCTGCGACTTTGATGTCACGCCCATGGTTGTCCACGCCGTCTCCGGCAATGTCACCTCGTTTGCCGCTGCCGCAGAGGGCCTCGAGCCCGGCAAGCACACACTGGACGTCTCCGGGCCAACAGGCCTCGCCCACGCTTGCACCGCAGTTGCCGTCGCCGGGGACGGCTCCGAACTCAACTGCACTGCCTTCTTTCCGCCCATCGAGATCGCCGGTAACTACTCGACGTACATCCGCTACAACTCGCCAACCGATGCCGCCTCGTCGGCGGCGCCCGCGGCGTCGGCTGGTACCTCGTCCCGCAAGTCGAGCGCGTCCTCCCTCGCTTTGTCCACGCCCAGGCCGGTGACACTCTCTTCGTCTCTGGCTCGCTTTTTGGCAATGTCTCAGACGCCGTCGCCGTCTCGGTCGCCGCCGCCCCGTGCACCGTCGTCGCCATCAACGCCACGCTCCTCACCTGCACCCTCGCGGCCGATCTCTCGGTCGGGACCGTCGGAGACGTGGTTGTCACCGTTCACGATACCCCTTCCATCTGCGTGGGTGCCTGCTCGATTGAGGCCGTCGACGTCCTCATCACAAGCATCGCGCCTACCGCAGGCTCTGTCTCGGGCGGCTACACCCTCACTGTCTCTGGCGAGGGCTTTGTCGACTCGCTCGCCGACCTCAACATCACCGTCGGCGGCGTCGCATGCACCGTCACAGCCGTCTCCTACACAGCCGCCGAATGCACTGTCGGCTCTGCAAACGTCGCCGGCCTCGTCGACGTCAACATCACTGGCTCTGCACGCGGCGAGCTTCTCGCCGCCTTTGACTACCAGTTTGCCATCCACGCCATCCTCTTTGATGCCGCCTCGTCGCCGCGGTCCGTCGTTGTCTCGGGCATCGGTTTTGCTGCGCCCGCACTCACTGACCTCGTCCTTGACGCCGTTCCCTGTGCCTCGTCGACATTTGTCAACGACTCGTATGCCGTCTGTGAGCTTCCTGCCAACCTCGGCGGCGGCATCTTTGGCATCGGCGCTGTTGGCGTTGCTAACCTTGCCTGCAGCCCGTCGGCGCTCCCCTGTTCCATTACGCTGCCGGCCGTTGTCGACGCCTCGACGCCCGATAGGGCCTGGTCGGGCGGCGGCGAGATTGTCGTCATCTCTGGCGCCGGCTTTGTCGGCGCCGGCTCGACTAACTTGACCGTCGTCATCGGTGGCGTCAATGCCACCGTCGCCGCCGCCAACTTTACCACCATCGAGGCCGTCATGCCGGCCGTCCCGGTTGGTTCCCAGCCCATCGAGATCTTCACCGAGTCCGTCGCCGCATCCGGCTCCGCCTCGGTCGACACCTTTGGTGTCCTCCTCCAGCGCGTCGCTGTCCTGGCCGGCACAGACCGCCAGGTCTCCGCCTGCGGCGGCGAGCGCCTCCGTCTCGAGGGCTTTGGCTTTGGCCCCGATCCTGCTGACGTCGCCGTCATCTTCGGCGGCTCGCCCGATGGCTGCGTCATCGACACCGGCTCGTTCTCGTCCACAGCCTTTGAGTGTGTTGTCTCGGACGCGCTTGCTGTCTGGGCCGGCCAGCTCTACGTCTCCGTCTCTGGCCTCAACTCCACCTGCGTCAGCCCCGGTGCCTGTGACCTCGCAGTCGTCGCCGAAGTCACCTCGGTCCTGCCCGGCTCCGGCTCCATGGCTGGCGGTGTCGCCGTCGCCATCACAGGCTGCGGCCTCGACATCGCCGCGGCTTCGGGGGTGTCACAGTCGCAGAGACCTCGCAGACATGTGACGTTGCAGCACTCAACCGTACACACCTCACCTGCACCATGGGCACCGGCTTCGTTGCCGGGCTCGGTCAGGTTCGCGTTGGCGCCGCCCGCTGCTCAGACCCTGTATGCTCCTGGATCGGTCGCGGCGAGCTCGCATCCGTCTCCCCGCCCTGGCTCGTCGCCAACGACCCAGCCGCCTCTCTGCTGCTCTCTGGCTACGGCTTTGGTACTGTCTCGAACGTCACCATCGTCTCGGTTGCCAGCGGCGAGCGCCTCAACTGCTCTGTCTCGGCCGCCGCCGCCAACGGCACCGCCCTCTCCTGTCGCCCAGACTACCCGCGCTCGTTCTATGGTACCTACATCGTGTATGTCGTCACCCGTGGCGTCGATGCCACTTGCTTCGCCTGCTCGTTTGAGAGCTCAGTCGCCCTCATCGAGGCCGTCGCGCCGACAGCCATCGCCGCCGACGGCTCGCTCGCACTCACCCTCGCGGGTCAAGGCTTTACTGGCGTCACCACCCTCGGCATCCGTGAGCCTGGCATCGTCGCCGCCCCGGCCGACCTCATTCCCTGTACCGTCAACGGCGGCCTCTCCACCGATACTTCCCTCGTCGTGCTCTGCGACGAGGCCGTCGGATCAGCTGGCTACACTGTTGAGTACGACGAGGGCGGCCAGGCCGCCGACTGCCTCGTCGCCGGCGGCTGTGTCGTCGACGTCGACCCAGTCGCCTCGTCCATTGCGCCCGCCTCGATCACTGTCCGTGGCGGCACCATCACCATCTCCGGCTTTGGCTTTGAGGCCGGTGTCAACGCTTCGCACGCCGCCCGCTTCGGCGGCTCGCCCTGCGCCTCGCTCTCCGTCATTGGCCCGCACACCCTCCACTGCACCATTGCAAACGCCACCTACGTCGTTGGCAACTACGGCCTCGAGCTCGAGGTCCACTCCCGCCGCGCGCTCGGCGACGCCGCGCTCTCGCTCGCCCTCCTCCCGGTCATCACTGCCATCGCCCCCGCCCACATCGTCGCCCAGGGCGGTGAGGTCCTGAGCATCGCCGGCGAGGGCTTTGACTCGAGCCTCCCGCTCGCGGCCTACAACCTCACCCTCGGCGGTGTGGCATGCAACGTCACGTACGTCTCGCCTTCCCAGCTGCTCTGCTCCTCCGGGCCGTCGCCAACCAACGGTGCCGCCCCGCTCAGCCTCGCTATCTCGGGCCTCCTTGCCGTCTGCGAGGGTCCCGGGTGCGCCGTAACCTACGCAGAGGCCGTCGTTGACGCCCTCGCCGTCGTCGGCGGCGGCTCGATCGTCTCCAGCGCTGGCGACTCGTCCATCGTCCTCACCGGCATCGGCTTTGGCTCCATCCTGGGCGACATCAACATCACCCTCGCCCACCCGCTCGACGGCAGTGTCAGCTGCACCCCGCTCTCCGCCAACAACACCGCCGTCATCTGCAGGGTCGAGCCTGGCCGTGCTGCCCTCGCGGTCGGCCTCGCCGCCGTCGAGGTCCGTGGTGCCGCCGCAGCCATCCGCTCGTCGTCCACCGTCGACTTTGAGCCGGTTGTCGCCGCCCTCGATCCGGTCCTGCTCGGCGTTACCGGTGGGAGCCAGCTCACCCTCACTGGTGCCGGCTTTGTCGCCGGTGCAGACGTTCGCCTCGGCGGCGTCGCCTGCGCCGCACTCTCGGTCACCCCCGCCGGCGACACTGCAGTCTGCACCGTGCCCGCCGCTGTCGGCGGCATCGGCGGCCTCGGCACGCTCACCATGACCAACAACGGTATGGCTTCCTTTGCCTGTAACGTCTCTGCATCGCCAGGCTACGCCTCTTCCTGCTCACCGTACTATGTCGGGGAGGTTCTCTCGCTGTCGACCTCGTCCGGTGGCGTCGACGGCGGCACCCTGCTCAACCTCACTGGTGTCGGCTTTGAGGCCCCGCGCGTTACGCGCGTTCGCATCGGTTCCATCGCCTGTGAGCTCGCCTCAGTCGGTCACGCCGCTGTCGCCTGCATCACTGCAGGCAACGTTGCAGGCGGTGTCTATCCGGTCGCCGTCGAGCTCAACGACGGTGGCGCCGGCTCGCTCTGTGCCGCCTCGGCCCCGTCGAGCTCCGCCATCCCGGCCTGTCACTTTGCCTACCTCCCGCGCATCGACGCCCTCCTCCCACAGGCCGCCGAAGCCTCGGTCGACACGCTGCAGATTGTCGGTGCTGGATTTGGTACCTCGCCGTCAAGCCTCCGTGTCGCCCTCGCCGGCGTCGGTAACCTCGTCATCACCGCCACCGCTGACGCCTCCCTCAACGTCACTCTCCCACCCGGCCTCGACGGCCGTGTGCGGGCCGTAGAGGTCCAGGCCTTTGGTCACGGCGCGGCATTTGGCGCCAACGCCACCTGCAACGTCTCCTCGAGCTACGCATGTGCCTTTGTCACCCTCCCGCGCATTGACTCGATCATCCCGCAAGTCGGATCGTCGGCAGGCGGCGCGATCCTCACCCTCGTTGGCTCAGGCTTTTCACCTGTCATTTCCGAGCTGGCGGTCGTCGCCCACGGCCTGCCGTGCACCGTCATCGCCTCGGCAGCCACCACCCTCGAGTGCGAGCTCGCTCACCACCAGGCCGGCCCGTTTTCGGGCGTCTCACTCACCGTCGCTTACGGCGCCGCCGCAACTTGCAACGCCGCCTCCTGCGATTTTGTGTACTCGGGTGCCATCTCGGCCCTCACTCCCTCCTCTGGCGGTGTCGGCACTCTCGTCACCCTCGACGGCATCGGCTGGCCGACAAACATCTCGTCGGCGGCCTACGCAGACGTGGTCATTGCTCTTGGCTCGCTCACCTGTCGCCCGGTTGTCTCGGGAGGCCTCACCGGCCCGATGCAGTGTGTCGTTGTTGGCCCAGGGCTTCCCAACTCGGGCCCGCTCAACCTCGCCGTCTCCTGGCCCGACGCGCTCAGCTTTGTCGTTGACTCGTCCGCCGCCGTCTTTGACTTTACCCACAACATCACCGCGCTCCTGCCTCAAGCCGCGCCTGCCTCGGGCGGCAACACCCTTGTTGTCCATGGCGACGGCCTCCAGCCGCTCATGACCTCGGGCCCGCGGTCGCAGATTGTTATCGACGGCGAGGTATGCGCTCCGCTCCCGACCGCAGCCTCTTCCGCCACTGTCCGCAACACCTCGTACGCAGACAACATCCTCGTCGCCGACGCCGCATGGTCCGAGTACCTCGACGCCGACCTCTACTACGGCACCCACAACATCTCCTTCGGCTACTCGGTCACCGCCGCAGGCAATGAGACTGACGCAAGCTGCAGCGTCAGCCTGGCCATCGGCGGCAACGTCGTCCTCAGTGCCGACTTTGCCGGCGCCTGGCTCGACACCGCTAACCTTCTCGCCACCGCAAGCTCAGTGCTCGTCACAGGTGGTGAGCTGCTAGAAGTGCGGGTGGTCGGCAACGCTTCCCGTTGCGTCGTCGCCGTTGACTACCTTGCTTTTTCCGCCCTCGACGGATACGGCAACGCCTCGCCAGACGAAGTCTCCTGCATCGTCCCGCCCGGCCGCGCAGGCGTTTTCGAGCTGCAGATGTGGAACGGCGGCACGCGCGTTCCGTGCGCCATCACTCCAGCCTGTAGCTACCAGCGCATCGGCGGCGTCGCGAGCGTTGTCCCTGCCATCTCGTCTGCCAACGCCAACCTCACACTCTCGCTCGCCGGCCATGGCTTTGCACCAGGCGTCGAGATCTGGCTGGTCCCACACGCCAACACTCTGGCCAACGTCTCGTGCGTCGTCGCCAACACGAGCGACATCACCCTCGGCGCCCTCACCTGCGACATTGTCGGGACCGTCGAGCCGGCCGTCTACAACGTCTCGGTCTCGCTGCCGGCTACAAACGCGCCGCCCTTTGCCTACCTCACCCCCGCCGCGCTGCCAGTCACCTGGACCGCAGTGGCTGTCATCGACGACGTTGCTCCGGCCGACGTCGGTGTCCGCGCCGGCGAGCTCGTCCGCATCACTGGTCGCGGCTTTGGCGCTTCCGGCTCCGGTGTCGCCTATGTCGCATTCGAGCCGCTGGCTGGTCCGGCCGCTGCCGCTGTCCCGTCGGCCACCGGCAACTGCACCGTTGTCGCCGCCTCTGAGACTCAGCTCAACTGCACCTCGCCGCCCCTGGTCGTCGGCCACTATGTCGTCAAGGTCTACATGAACCTAGTCGGCGCCGAGGCCGAGTGTTCAGTCGGCGCCGACTGCACCATCGTTGTCGTCGCTCTCGTCGACAAACTGCTGCCGGTCTCTGGGCCCGCTGTAGGCTCGGACGCGCTGGTCGTCGACGGCGCCGGCTTTGTCCCTTCCGTCGGCGACAACGCCGTGAGCCTCGACGGGCTGCCGTGCAGCCTCGTCTCTGCCAACGAGACCACCATCGTCTGCATCCGGCCTCCGGCCCGCGGTGTCGCCACCAACGCCTCGGTCGTTGTCGCCGCCGACTACCCCGCGCGCTGCGTCTCGGACGCCGCTTGTGCCTTTGTTGTCGTTCCCTCGCTCACGGCTGTCACGCCGGCCGCCATCGACCCGGCCGGCGGCGAACTGGTCACACTCCTCGGCACCGGCTTTGACCCCACGCTCGTCTCTCCGAACGCGTTTGCCTTCCACGGCCTCGACTCGAGTGGCGGTGTTGCCGCTGTAGACGCTGTCGCCTGTCTGCCGCTCGCGCCCCCGTCCTCGCTCGTCAACGCAAGCTGCGTCACCCCCAGTGGCCAGCTGGCCACTACATGGTTGCGGTCGAGGTCCATGGCATCGCCGCCGTCGACGCCTGCCCCGGTGGCTGCAACCTCACCATCGCGCTCGTCGTCGATGCCCAGGCCCCGCGCGTCGGCGAGGCGCCCGGCGGCGACCCGGTCGTCTTTACCGGCCGCGGCTTTGCACCCGACTTTGCAGTCTGGTTTGACCTCCTCGGCGGCCCTGGGCCCGAATCGGTCGCCTGCATCGTCGCTGCCGCCAACTTTACCCACCTCACCTGCGTGCCGGACGCCGCCGTGGCTGGCGCGTACGATGTCCGCATCACCGGTCGCAACGCCACCTGGGCCTGCCCTCCCGGGGTCTGCAGCTACGAGGTCCTCGCCCGCGTCACATCCATGACTCCGGCTGTCGGCCTCGCTTCGGGCGGTGTCACCATCGACATCCGCGGCACCGGCTTTGCCAGCGATCCAAGCCGCCACTCGGTCGTCCTCGCCCCAACCTGTCGTGCGCTATCATCTCGGTCAACTTTACCTCTCTGCTCTGTCTTACTCCACCGGGCCTCGCCCGCGTCCGCACCCTACAGCTTGAGACCCATGGCCGCCCGTACGTGTGCGACGCCTCGGCCTTGGGGTGTGGCTTTAACGCGCACCCGACCGTCTCGTCAGTCGCGCCGTCCCGTGTCTACGCCTCTGGTCGCGACAACGTCACCCTTGCAGGCTACGGCTTTGCCGCCAACCTCACCGATGTGCCGACCCTGGTCTCCGTCGGCGGCGTCGCCTGGGACCTCCGTGATGGCGCCGACTCAATCGCCGTCCTCGTTGCCGCCACCCGCTATGTGACCGGCGGTGAGTACGTTCTCGCCGGCGGCATGGACTCGCTTCCCTGGGTCTGCAACACCTCGCTCGCCTGCAACATCACCGTCGTGCCCGAGATCGCAAGCGTCACCGCCCGCGTCCCGGTTGGCTCCGGCCCGGGTGTGGTCGTTGTGGTCGACGGCGCCGGCTTTGATGCCCCGCTCTCCGAGCTCGAGGCCTGGCTCGGCGGCGTGCCGTGCCCCGTGCAAGAGGCGAACGCCACGACGCTCGTCTGCCTTCCGCCGCAGGCCGATGCCACCATTGTCGTCGGCAGCGTCATCGTCATCGTCCAGGGCATCACCGCCGAGTGCATCAACCCTTCTGGTTGCGGCCTCGCACGTGTCCCCGAGATTCACTCCATCCAGCCACGCGCCGCACTCTACGACCTCACCACCCGCCTCACCATCGCCGGGCGGGGCTTCTCTGCCGCCCCTGTCAACACCACCGTTGACCTCGGCCCGCACCCGTGCATCGTCGCCTCGGCCAACGAGACCCATATCCTGTGCGACGTCGCCGGCGGCAACGCGTCGCACCCGGTCGTCGTCACCGTCGTCGACGTCAACGGCCTCGCTGCCACCAGTGAGTGCATTGACGATGCCGCCGCAGACTGTATCTTCAAATTTGTCGAGCCGATCTGGGTCGACGCCGCTGCCGGCTCAGAGGACGGCTCGTGCGTCTGCAACCAGTCGCCGCCCTACTCGCCCTCGTCGCCGGGCTGTGCCTCCTTTGGCTGCGCGCTCGCTAACGCATACTTTGAGCACCATCGCATCTTTGCCAGAGCTGGCTCCTACTCGGGCCCGCGCAATGCTCGTCTCTCATCGCCAGCAAGCCTGGACGTTGTCCTCCGCTCCGTCGAGCCAGACGTCGCCGACGTTGTCGTCGACTGTACTGGTGCCGATGGTCCGTTCCTCACCCTTGTTGGCCGCGAGGACGTCAGTGGCTTCACCATCACCCGTTGCGTGAGTGAGAGCCACGGCGGCGGGCTGGTCATCGCCCCAGGTGCAGCCGTCGTCATGACTCACATGACCTTTTCTGCCAACGAGGCCCGCAACGCGTCGTTCGGCGGCGGCGTCTACGTTGCCGGCGAGCTCAACGCCACCGCGCTCACCTTTGCCGCCAACAACGCCACCGCCGGCGCAGGCCTCGCCGCAGGCAATGCCGCCTCAGTCGTCCTCGTCGACGTCGTCGTCCGCGACTCGGTCGCCGGTGGCGGCATCGTCGCCGCCGATGGCGCCTCGGTCGAGCTCCGAGGCTCGTCGTGGATCATGGACAACGCCGGCTCCGGTCTGCAGGCCCTCAGCGGTGGTCTCGTCCGCGCCACCAACGCCACTCGTGTCATCCGGAATGTCGCAGACTATGGCGGCGGTCTCTATGCCTCGGGCTCGGGCTCGACCCTGCTGTGGCTTGCCGGTCATCCGGACGCATCGCTGGAAGCCAACGTGGCCGTGTATGCCGGCGGCGGAGCCTACGCTGAACTGTCCGCCTCGGTCGTTCTCTCTGTTGGACCTGTCCACAACTGCTCTGCTGCAACTGGCCTCGGCGGTGGCGTCGCCGCCGCATCTACCGGCTCTGTCCATCTCGCAGCTGGCGTCGTCATCTCAGACTGCTCTGCCGCGCGCGGCGGTGGTGCCGGCGCCACGGACGCTGGCGTCGTCCACCTCGTCGCGACAACCCGCGTCACAAACTGCCATGCCTCGGACGCCGGAGGCGCCGCCTGGGCTCAGTCATCCGGTATCATCAACGTCGCAGGCGCCATCGATGCTTGCTCGGCTGTCCGCGGCGGCGGCATCGGTGCCAGTACCTCCGGCTCCATCTTGGCACCCTCGTCGACCCGCATCGAGTCGTGCTCCGCCTCGAGCACCGGTGGTGGCCTCTTTGCCGCCGCCGGCGGCTCCGTCGCCTTTAACGGCACCATAACTGCCTGCTCTGCCACTGTCGGTGGTGGCGGTGCTGCTTCTGGCTCGTCGGCGCTCATTGAGCTCGTCAGCGCCACCGTGGTCTCCTGCTCGGCTGGAGGCCATGGCGGTGGACTCTACGCTGACTCTGGTGCCTCGATCTCGGTCGCTGCCGCCACCAACATCTCGGCATGTTCCGCCGGTCTGGGTGGCGGTGGAGTGGCCCAGAACGGGCCAGGCCTCGTCAGCCTCTCGCACTCGCTTGTCACTCACTGTTCCAGCAACGGTGCTGGTGGTGGCCTCTGGGCCAACGCCTCGACCGAAGCTGGCCAGAGAATGGAGCTGGTCTCATCAACAGTCACTCACTCGTCGGCTGCGGTGGCTGGAGGCGGCCTCGCGGCGGCCTCGGGCCTCATTGTCCTCGGCACTGACGTCGTTGTCGCTCACTGCTCTGCCGCCAGTGGTGGGTGCCTCGCGGTCGCCGCTGCCGGTGGCATGCTTGAGCTCCGCGACAACGCTCTGGTCACCAACTGCTCCGCAACCGCCGACGGCGGCGGCATCGCAGTCCTTGCCGCCGGTGCCGTGCTCGTTACCGACTCGGTCGCGATCGAGACCAACACCGCCGGACAGGACGGCGGCGGCCTTTGCGCCATCGGCCGTGGCGCGATATCCGTCCAAGCCTCTGCTTCGGTCACGGCCAACACTGCCGGCCGACATGGCGGTGCCGTCTTTATCGCCGACGCCACCTTTGGCTCGTCCGGTAGTGCTGCCATCCACGCCAACGTCGCCGGCGCCGACGGCGGAAGTGTGGCCGTCGGTCCCGACGGCTATGCAGTCATCAACTCTGCGCTCACCAACGCCACTGCTGGGGGTCTGGGTGGTGGCGTCGCCGTCCGCGGCGGGCGCGCCGTCCTCGGCCTACTCGGCAGCGTCTCGGCCTCGTCTGGATCCGTCCGCGGCGCCGCTGTCACCGTCGATGGCACCGCTGGTCTTGTCAGTGTCTTTGACTTGGCTGGCGGCCGTGTTTCTGGCGCTACTGGCGACGGACTCTACGTTGTCGGCGTCGGTGCGCTCCTCAACATGACCGCGGGCACCATCGAAGCCAATGCCCGCAACGGGCTGGTGGTCGAAGGTCCCTCCGGCACGCCCACACTTGTCGCCGGCCCGAGCAGCTTCATCACGCGAAACGGGCTCGACGGCGTTGTCGTCCTGGCCAGCGGTGCGCTCGAGGTGCACGACGACGCCGCCATTGCTGCCAACCTTCGGCATGGCATCTGGGCTGGGACCGCCGGGCGCATCACGCTCTACGGCGGCAACGTGACAGCCAGCGGTAGTGACGGCATCGTCTGCTACTCTGCCGCCGCCGTCGCCGTCCGCGGCTCGGCGGCTGTTGTCGACTCGGGCCGTGACGGCCTCGTCGCCGACGGCTGTGCCGATGCAACCGTCGCCGCCGGCGGCCGCGTTCTCTTCTCGGCGCGCTACGGCATCCGCGGCGAGAACGCGTCGATTGTCGTCCTGGGGAATGGCGGCGAGGTCGCCGACTCGGCTCACACCAACCTCTGGCTCGGCGAGTCGGCCAATGCCACCATTGCAGGTGCGCTCATCCGCTCTACCTCTAGCGGGCTCGTCATTAACCCAGGCGCAACCGTCACTGTCGCCGCTGGTGGCTACATTGCTGGCTCGGCTCTCCATGGCATCGAGGTCGCCATCAACGCCTCGCTCATCATGACCGGCGGCCGCCTCGAGGCCAACGCCGGCTCGGGCATCGCCGTCAACGGCTCCGCCGACGTCCGCGGTGCGTACATCGTGAACAACGGTCCGGTCGCGTACGGTGCAGGCATCCTCGCTTACGGTCCGTCCGCCACCGTGGTCCTTCACGCCTCGGTCGTTCAGGGCGGCGAGGCCGCCGGCGCCTGTCTTGCTGTGCGTGCTGGCGCTGCCGCCACTGTCTCCGGCGGCTCGTCGCTGCTCGACGGCCGCGCCCGCGGCGCGTCCAGCGCCGGCGGCTGCGTCCTCGTCGATGGCGAAAGCTCGACGCTGCTCCTCACCTCGGCTACGCTTCGTGGCTGTGTGAGTGACGGTCTCGGTGGCGCTCTCGCCGTCACCTCGGGTGGATACGCCTTGCTCAATGGCTCGGTGCTTGTCTCGGGTGATGCCGCAAGTGACGGCGGCGGGATATGGATCGACAACGCGCTCGTTGACCTCGCCCACGGGGCCAACATCTCGTGGTCGGCCTCGGCTGGCCATGGCGGCTGCATCGCCATCTCCGCTTCCGGCTCGGCCACTCTCCGCGACGGTGCTGTTGTCGGCCCGTCTTGCGTTGCCGCCGGCAATGGCGGCGGCATCTGGGCCGCTGGATCGATCATCCTCACCTCGGGCGCTGCTATCCGTGGTGGAGCCGCCGCTGCCGGTAGCGGCGGTGGTCTCGCCATCGCTGCCGGCGCTCGCGGCTCTGCTAACGACGTCACCATCTCTGAATCGACCGCCTCCTACGGTGGCGGCGTGAGCCTGGAAGGCCTCCTCGACTTTGACCTGGGCTCGGGTGTGGCCATCACCGGCTGCTCTGCTTCCACAAACGGTGGTGGCATTGCGCTGCTTGCCACCGTCTCCATCTCCTCTGTCATCTCGTCGGGAGCCACCATCTCCCACTGTACTGCTGCCGGCAACGGCGGCGGTGTGTGGGCCTCGGGTGGCGCCTTTAACGTCACCGGTCTCAGCATCGCATCCTCGACCGCCACCGCAGGCGATGGCGGCGGCATGTGGCTTGGAGGCGCAGCTGCGGCAAATGTCGACGCTCTCGTCGTCGTCGCGTCGTCGGCCGGCCGCCACGGGGGCGGCATCGCGCTCGCAGATACATCCGGTGCGCTCGTCAACACCACTCTTGTCAACACCACCGCCGCAGACTCGGGTGGCGGCGTCGTCATCCTCGACGGCTACGCCGGCTCCATCGCAGCCCTCGACGTCTCCGGCTCTGTCGCGGTCCGTGGAGGCGCCCTCGCCGGCTCGGCCACCAACATCACTGACCTCACCGCCACCAGCTGCTCCGCGCTCTTTGGCGGCGGTGTGTGGGCATCACTAGGTGTGACGCCGGCGCCGCTGATTCTCATTGGCGGTGCCATCGAGTCGAGCACTGCTACCAGTGGTGGTGGCGGCGGCGCCGCTGCCGTTGGCGGGTCGGCCTCGGTTCTCCGCCTTGTCGGTACACGCGTCGTGGCCTGCTCCGCAAGCGATCCGGGGCATGCTCTGCTCGCCATTGACGCTGGTCGACTCGAGCTTGTCGATGTCGTCATTGCAAACCCCGCCGGCTCCGAGGGAGCCGTGGCGGTTGTTGGAACCGATTCGGTCGTTGACGCCCATTCCTGCGATGTGGTAGTCACCGACATGGGCGGCCGCGCCTTTGCTGCCCTCGCGCATGGCTCGCTCCTCCTCACCCAGATCACCGTTGCTCGTGGTGGCCTCGTCGTCGACGCTGGCTACGCCACCCTCGACTCGGTTGCGTTCTCCAACGCGCATGTCATCGGCTCGGGTGGTGCTATCCTGGTCTCGCACGTTGCCGCTCCGGGCTCGGTCGTTTTTACGGACGTCTCGCTCTTCAACTGCTCGGCAACCGCGTACGGCGGCGCACTCGCTGTCGTCAACGCCACTGTTTCAGCTACTCGGCTCAACGGTACGCTGGCAAGCGCAGGCGGAGCCGGTGGCGTCGTCAGTGTCTCGGGCAGTGCTTCTCTGCTCACGCTCGTCGACGCGCACCTTGCCTCAGGCGCTACCGCATCCGGTTCAGGTGGCTGTGCCTTTGTCGGCGACGGCGCACGGCTTGATGGCCTCGGGCTGCACGTCACCTCGTGCAGCGCCAGCTCCGGTGGCGGTTTGGCCAGTAGCGGTAGCGCCTCGCTGCTCTCGTTGGGCGCAGACTCTGTTGTTAATAGCTGCTCGGCCACTGCTGGCGACGGCGGTGGTCTGTGGGTCGGCCCTGGTGCGCTCCTTGCCACCGACGCTGTCTCCGTCGTCGCCTGCGTCGCGACAGGACGCGGCGGCGGCATTGGCATCGAGTCGGCGGCGGGCGCGACGCTCAACACGACGCTCGTCGTCGACTGCATCGGCGGCGCTGGTGGTGGCGGGGTGTGGGCATTCGGCGGCCAGAACGCCGGTGCCGTCACGCTCGACGCCGTCACCCTTGTCGGCAACGACGGCGGCTCGGGTTCTACCAACTCCTTTGCGCTCGAGCCGACTCGTCGCGAGCTCAACCCCGGCAACGTGCTTGCTGGCGGCGGTGCGCTCTTTGACAACGCAACCGTCATTGCCACGTCGGTCAACGTGTCGCGCAACGCGGCATCAGTCGGCGGTGGCCTCGCTTTCTACAACGGGAGCACCGGCTACGTGGCCGACTCACACTTTGCCCACAACTCAGCCGAGTCTGGCGGTGGCTGGTACATCCGCGATGACGTCTCGCTCGGCGCCTCGGGCATCTCGTTCGACAACAACACCGCAGCCGCCTACTTTGGTGGTGGCATCCACATCCACCTCGCCACTCTCACCCTCACCGCTTCCAGCTTCTCACACAACTCGGCGGCGCTCGAGGGCGGCGGCATCTTCTGCTGGCAGTCGTACCTCACCACAGCCTCCATCGTTCACACCGGCAACTTGGGCGGCGACGCCGTGTGCTCTGGGTGTGTCTCCGAGTCTGGCGACTCGCCATGTGTGTTCTCGCAGGACCGTGTCTACGTTGACAACGTGTACGGCAACGACGGCGAAGACTGTAAGTGTCTGGGCGACTGCCGCACCATCCAGTGCGCGCTCAACCTGGTCGCGCCTGGCCTCGAGGTCCGCATCCGCGACGGCGTCTACACCGGTGACGGCAACCGCGACCTGTTTGTGCCGGACGGCAAGCCGATGCGCATCGTCTCCCACTCAGAGAACGCCGCCGGCGTCGTCCTCGACCTCTCGGTCGCGTCTGGCCACCGCGCGTTCAACCTGACTGGCGTCGGCCGCGACGTCATCGTAGCCGCCCTCACCGTCCGCGGCGCCGATGTGACCGGCGACGGCGGTGCGTTCTGGATCGGCCCAACCTCGGGCCCGGTCCTCGCCAACGTTGTCGTCGAAGACTGCACCACCTCCGGCGACGGCGGCGCCGTGTACGCCGCCCCGGGCTCAGCCGCAGACCCCAGCCCGGCGGTCTCGATCAACTCGGTCGTCGTCTCCCGCTGCTCAGCTGGTTCTGTTGGTGGCGCCCTCGCCCTCGGTGAGCGGGTGAACGTTTCGCTCGTCGACCTCGCCATCCGCGACACCTCGGCGTCGGCCGGTGGTGCGCTCTGGATAGACGGCCTCGAGGGCTCGTTCATTGCCGGCGTCAACATCACCAGCTCGGTTGCCACTGCAGCAGGCGGATGCGTCTACGTCACGGGGGCCGCCACAAGCGTGCGGCTCCAAGACGTGGCGCTGGCCAGCTGCGTCGTCAGCGCCGGCGGCGACGGCGGCGGCATCGCCGTCCGCGGCGGCGCCGTCGTCGAGCTGGCGTCCGGCTCTGAAATCCTGCAGAGTCTTGCTCCAGGCGGCTCGGGCGGTGCCGCTTCGGTCACCGGCGCGGGCTCGCTTCTGGTAGTGGGCGAGACAAGACTCGCCGGCAACAATGCCACCATCGGCGGCGGTGTCGCTGTCTCTGACAGCGGGCGCGTCGATGTCGTCGCTGGCGGCATCGTCGAGCTCAACCACGCCACCGTCGGTGGCGGCTTTGCCGTCAACGGCTCGGCTGGCGGCATCGTCGCCTTTAATGCATCCTCGGTCCTCCGTTATAACTCGGCGCTGGTCTACGGTGGAAACGGGTACGCAGTCAACTACGGTCAGGTCCTAGTTGACTTTGCCGAGATCGCCGGCGGCTACACCGGCATCTCGGGCGGTGGCCTCTACCTCTTTGAGTTTGCCACCCTCAGCATCTCCAACACCTCCATCCATGACAACACTGCCGGTGCCCTCGGTGGTGCCATCTACTGCAACCGCTTCGGCACCGTCTTGGGCTCGGGCAACGTGTACTCGGGCAACTCGCCGCCGAACCGCTGTGCGCTCTGCGGCATCGACGGTGACCTCACCTGCCTGAGCGACATCGTCGTCGACGACGTCAACGGTGACGACGGCATCGACTGCCAGTGCGTCGGTGAGTGCAAGTCGCTCCACTGCGGCATCCAGGGTGTGACCTGCTTTGGCTCGCGCGTCCTCGTCCGCCCCGGCACTTACACCGGCCCGCTCAACCGCGGCCTCAGCTTTGGCGGCAAGGCCTTCGACCTAGAGGCCGTCGGCTCGCCCGCAAACACCATCATCGACTGCGGCCTCGCCGGCCGTGCGCTCACCTTTGAGAACGGCGAGGCCACCATCAGGATCAGTGGCTTTACCTACCGCAACTGCGGTGGGCCGTCTGTCGACTACGGCGGTGCCATCCTTATCAGTGACGGCGCGCCGCATCTCGACAACGTCGTCTTTGATTCGTGCTCCGCCACCACAGGCGGTGGCGCCGTCTGGGTCGGCAGCGCTGGCCAGCTCTCTGTCGCAGACGTCACCTTTACCTCGTGCTCCGCTGGCGCGGGTACCGGTGGCGGTGTCGGCGTCGCTGACGGCGTCCTCAATGCCACCATGGTCGACTTTACCGCCCAGCACTCGAGCGTCTGGATCGGCAGCGGCGTCGATGCCGTCCTGGAGCGCGGCACCCTTACCGGCTCGCCGGCCGGACTCGTCGTCGCCAACGGCTCACTCCAGCTCCGCAACGTCACCCTCGCCAACGTCACTTCAAACACCGGCGCCGCGCTCACCGTCGTCGGCTCACGCGCCGTCGTCGTCCTCGCTGCCGACGTCGCCCTCACCGGTTCGCAAGGCTCGGCCATTGCCGTCTCGGACGGTGGCCTCGCCGTCGCCGCCGGCGCGCACATTACTGCCACCGACGGCGGTGACGGTGTGCTGGTCTCGGGCGCAGGCTCCATCGCTCGCCTCGAGAACGCAACCGTTGTTGAGCGCGGCCGCGGTGGCGTAGCTGTCCACGCTGTCGACGGCGGCCGTATCATAGTCCACCATGTTGGCACCGCGCTTCGTGATGGCGATGGCGACGCTGGCTACGCCGAGACCGGTGGCCGCATCGACCTCCTCGATGGCGCCGTCGTTGCTGGCGCCTCCGGCTCCGGCTTGGTCGCCGCCACGGGCGGTCTCGTGTACATCGCTGACGCGAGCACCCGGGTCGAGAACCAAACTCTTGCCGGCGTTCGGCTCGCGGCTGGCGGCCTCGCCCAGGTCCACAACGCCACCATCGCCCGCAACGGCATTGGCGTCCAGGTTGACGGTGTCGACGCGGTCTGGCTCGGCCTCGCCGCTGCCATCACCGACAACGTCGACAGTGGCATCTTGGTTCGCTCCGGTGGCGTGGCCCACCTCCAGAGCTCCACTTTGGTGGCCCGCTCCGGCGGGTGGGGTCTCGTCTCTGCCGTCAACGGCAGCATTCTGGTCAACGCATCGCTTGTCGACGCCAACACTGCCGGTGGCGCGCAGGCTGTTGGTGTTGGCGCGCGCATCCAGCTGACGCTCTCGACTGTCTCTCGCTCCGGTGGCCGCGCTCTCGCCGCAGTCGATGCTGGGGAGCTCGTTGCGCTTGACTCGGTCTGTGAGTTGAACGTTGTCGCTGGCTGCGGCCTCGCCGCCAACGGAACCCTCCGCTGGACCTCCGTCCTTGCCCGCAACAACTCGGCAACGACTGGTGCAGGGCTCTTGGTCGATGGTGTTGACGGCCTCGCTGTCGTTTCGGGCGGCCGCATCATCTCATCGGTCGCTTCCGGCTGCGGCGGTGCATTTGCCGTCTCCCGCGCAGGCCGGCTCGAGTTTGCCGACGGCTTTGTCGTCGCGTCTGCCGCAGCCGCCATGGGCGGCTGTGGTTGTGCGGAGCAAGGCGCTTCGCTCCTGCTCGCCAACGGCACTGTCACCGGATGTGACGCTGCTGCCCGCGGCGGCGGCCTCTACATCGGGACCGCGGCGGCGGCGTCGGCGACTGGCCTCGCGCTCACCAATGCACGCGCCGACGCGGGTGCTGCCGGCTGGGTCGAAGGTGGCGCCTCCCTCACGCTGGCAGCCTCGCGCCTTGCAGACTGTAACGCCACTACAGTCGGAGGCGGAATCGGCGCCGAGACCGATGCCACCGTCGTGCTCTCGGACAGCTCGCTCGTCACCAACTGCGTCGCTGGCGTCTCTGGTGGTGGGAGCTGGTGTGCGTCAGGTTGCTCCTTTAACGTCACGGGCAACTCTACCATTGCCATGTGCGTTGCTTCCTCCACCGGCGGCGGCGCGGCTGTGGGGCCTGGCGGTACGCTCAGTCTCTCGTCCGCCATCATCGCCCGCAACAACGTGAGCGAGACGCTCGCCGCCGGGCGCGGCGGTGGCGGTCTTGCTGCTGTCGGCTCGGCTGGCACTCCGGCAACCCTAATTATGGTCAACTCACGTTGCGAGGACAACCACGCCCGCGGCGGTCTCGGCGGCTGCCTCTACGGCAGCTTTGCCGCTGTTTCGGTCACCCGCTCGCAACTTCTTCGCGGATCGGCGGCGTCGGGAGGATGCGCCGGCTTTGGCTACGGCGCCTCGTCGATTGTCCTCGCCGACTCGACTTGTGCCGATGCGACCGCTGTCATTGTGGGTGGCGGCCTGGTGGCCTCGACTGGATCGTCGGTCGTCGTCGATGGCCTGGCCGTCTCGCGCACGACGGCACCGCTGGGCGGATGCGTCGCCGCCGAAGCAGGCGGCATCCTCGAGATACGCGGCAGTTCACTCACCGAGTGTGTGGCCGAGACCGGCGGTGGTGCAGTCGCCACCTCGGGCGGCCGCGTCTTGGCGCTCGACTCGCTCATCTCGGACTGTGTGGCCACCGCTGCTGGCGGTGGCGGCTTTGCCGCTCTCAACAACTCGTTGGTCGAGCTCGACTCGGTCGCTGTCACACGCTGCTCGGCAAGTGTCGGCAACGGGGGCGGTCTCTACGCCGCTGGCGCCGGCGCCGTCCTCAACATGACCGCCGCCTCGAACATCTCGTTCTGCTCGGCCCAGTCGGCCGCGGAGGTGGCCTCTACGCTTCCGCTACCGCCGCCATCGGCACTTCTTCTGGTGTCGTCCACGCATGTACTGCCGCCCACGGTGGCGGTATCGGCTGTGCCGCGCCAGGCACCACTCTTCAGCTCCGGCTCACCCGAGTCCTCCACTCAGTCGCCGACGCAAGCTTTGGTGGTGGTCTGGCCGTCGATGACGGCTGCCATGTCCTCGCTGTCGGCGTGGAGCTCTCTCACTGCACCGCAGCCTCGTTTGGTGGTGGCATCGGCGTCTCGTCGTCTGCCACTCGCGTCGACCTCTACGGCGCAACCATTTCCGAGTCTGCCGCCTGCGAGTGGGGCGGCGGTTCGGGCGTCGTCGATGGCAGCCTGGCCGCCTATGGCGGCGCATGGCGTGGCTCGTGGATCGGCGATGCAAACGGCCTGCCGTGCGCTGGCGCGCCTCCGGCCGCCTACGGCGCGGGCATCGGCATTGTCGCCGGTGCCCTTGAGCTGAGCGGCGTCACCGTCGCCGACAACATCATCGCCGCCGACATCCTCGGCGTCGCCACTGCTTTCGGTGCCGGCGTCGGTGTCAACTCATCGGCTGCAAGCGCCAACATGACCCATTGCACAGTGGTGGGTAACGTGCTTGTGAGCTCCGCATCGGCCTCGTCGTCTGATGTGTTCGGTGCTGGCCTCGGCGTCGGTGCCGGCGGCCTTGCCCTTGCCACCAACGCCAGCTTTGTCCACAACACCGTTTCCGGCGCTGGTGCGGGAGGCGGTGCCGCGGTCTCGGGAGCCGGATCGCGGCTGGAGCTCCATGCTTCGCGCTTTTCGCGCTGTGCCGCCCCGCGCGGCGGTGGCGTCGCCGCCACCAGCCGCGGTCTCCTTGTTGGCAGCGCCCTGGAGCTTGACGACGGCATCGGCTACATTACCGCCGGTGGTCTGCTCTGCGCAGATGCCGGCTCGTGCAACCTTGACCGGACCACAGTTGTCCGGAACAACGGCAGCTGTGCTGTCTGGCTGGGTGGCTCGGGCAGTCTGGACTTTGCCGATCTCGATGTGCTCGACGCGGCCGAACGCGGTGTGTGCGTTGCTGATACCGCTGCTGCCTCCTTAGTTCGCGGCTCGGTCGCACGCTCCGCCGCCGAGGGCGTGCATGTCAGCGGCGGCGCGCGCCTGACGTCCACCGCCGCCACCGTGGTGACCGATAATGCGCTTGCCGGTATCCGGATTGTCGGCCCGGTGACGACCGCCATCCTCAATGCCACCGTCGTCTCGTCCAACCACGAGTCTGGTGTGCTCGTCGAGGCTGGGGCGAGTCTCCGCCTCGACGAAGGCGCTCAGGTCCTCGCCAATGCCGCCCACGGCATCCGTGTCGCCGACACCAGCTCGCTGGTCGAGGCCGACAACACGCTCATCCGCGCCAACAACGTTGGTCGCGGAAGCTCCGGGGGTGGCGTTAGTGTCGCCGCCGGTGCCGTCGCTGTCCTACACGCCTCGGTCGTCCTCTCCGACAACGAGGCTGACATTGGCGGCAACGTCGCTGTCACCGACGCTGGCTCGCGCCTTGATCTCCTTGGTGCGTCGCTCCTGGTCGGCCGCGCCTCCTTTGGCGGCTCGCTGGCCTGCTCCGACTCGGGTGTGCTCGTTGCCGCCGGGGCGGTCGTCGCCGACTCGGTCGCGGCTGGCTCGGGCGGCGGCGTCGGTCTCGATGGTTGCGCCTCGGCGTACATCTCGCAAATCACCGTCCGCAACTGCTCTGCGGCGCACAATGGCGGTGCATTGGCTGCGGTCAACGGCTCGGTCCTCGTTTTCTCGGCCTCTCAGGCCAACGACTGCTCGGCTGCCGCCACTGGCGGTGGTCTGTACCTGGCGTCGGCTGCCAATGCGACGCTTACCAGCAGCCAGGTCCTCTCGTGTGTCGCGAGCACCGATGGCGGCGGCATCGCTGTCGTTGACGCCCACGTCACTGCCTTGGACCTGTTTGTCTCGCACTGCGACGCAGCCGCTCGCGGAGGCGGTCTCTTTGGCCTCCGCGAGACGTCCTCGGCCTGGACCGACGTCACCGTTGTCTCCAGCTCGGCGGCACTCGGCGGCGGCATGGCTTGGTCTCACTCGCGCGCCGTCATCGTCCGCGCCAACGTCTCATCCTGTGCCGCTACTTTGCATGGTGGTGGCGTCTGGATCGAGGACGCCGCCTCGGGTGTTCAGCCAATCCTCGACGCGGCGCTGCTCGAGAACAACGTCGCTGCCGGTTACGGTGGCGGTCTTGGTGCCGGCGACGGCGGTCGAGTCGCGCTCACTTCCGCGACATCCATCGTCACCTCGCGCGCCGTCAACGGCGGGTGCATCGGTCTCGCCGCGGCCAACGTCTCGGCCTCTGACTCGACTCTATCGGAGTGTTTGGCGTCAAGTGCCGGTGGCGGCTTCTGGGTTGGTACCGCAGGCCGCCTGGATGGGCTCCGCCTCGTCGCTTCGGACTGCCTTGCATCCGGAAGTGGCGGTGGTGGCTGGATTGCTGATGCCGGCGTGGCCGATCTCGCCGACTCGGACCTTGTCCGCTGCGTCGCTGCCGACTCGGGCGGTGGCCTTGCTGCTGTTGCAGGCTCGGCTGTCACTCTCTCGGCTGCGACCGAGCTCGTCAACTGTACCGCCGGTGGTTCCGGAGGCGGCGTCGCTGCCCTTGGTGCCACACTTTTCGTATCCAATGCCCACATCCGTGGTTGCTCCGCGAGCAACGACGGCGGCGCTGCCGCTGCCCACGGCCTCTCAGCCTCGCTCTTCCTCAAAGCTGTGCAACTGACGAGCAACACCGCTAGCTATGGTGGCGGTGTCTCGGCTGACTACGATGGTGTCTTTACCTTGACCGATGTCACCGCCCTCGCCGATGTTGCGCTCGTCACGGGCGGGAGCCTCTACGTTCGTGGAGGTGGAAGCGGTCTTGTCCAGCGGTCATCGCTCGTCGATGCGTCAGTCGTCGGCTCTGGGGCCGGTGGCTGTGGCCGCGTCGAGAACGGAAGTCTCACCCTCGTTGCTGCTGTTCTCCGCGGATGCTCCGCTGGCGACGGCGGTGCTCTCTGGGCCAGCGGTCCGGCCGCTAAGCTCGTTGTCAACGACACCCTCGTCGACACCTGCACCGCCGCCCAGGATGCCGGTGGCATCGGCGTCGGTGCGGGCGCCGACGTGGTCGTCACCGCTACCAACGTCACCAGCTGTATCGCAGGTCGCGACGGTGGCGGTATGCTTGTCAGCGGTGACGGCCTGTCGTCGGTGGCGCGCCTGTCTGTCGCCACCTCGCGGCTGATCGCCAACCAAGCTGTCCGCCGCGGCGCAGGCCTTGCGGTCTGGGCTGCGGCAAACGCTACCTGCGACGCGCTTGTCTCAGACTCGGTCTTTGACTCGAACGCTTGCGCAGGTGATGGCGGTGGCGCCAGCGCGCACGGTGCCGGCGCCCGCGCTGTCTTTACCGACGTCGCCATGGCGCTGGATACTGCGGCGAGCTCGGGTGGTGGCGTGTACGTCGCACACGGCGGCAATCTGCATCTCATCACCTGTCTCCTCTCCAACCATACCGCGTCGAGCTATGGCGGTGCGGTTCACGTTGCGCCTGTCGGTAACGTCACTGTCACCCACTCGATCATTGACGCCGGGCTCGCGGGCCTCGACGGCGGTTGCGTCTCCAGCGCTTCGCAAGCTGGCCTCTGGCTTGACTCCTCGCAGCTGACGCGTTGCTCAGCTGGCCGCGATGGGGGTGGATTTGTCGCCTCGGCCGTTGCCGCCGTCAACCTGCTCGACACGCTTGTTAGCGACTCGACCGCCGCCCGCCATGGTGGTGGCGGGTACGTCATGCCGGCTGCATCAGCAGTCGCGACCCAGCTACGGGTAATCACTTCAGTCGCGCTTACCGGCCATGGTGGAGGCATCGGCGTTGGCGCAGGTGGCGAGCTCGACCTCGTCTCGTCATCGATCGCTGCTTGCACTGCTGCTGGGCCTGCCAGTAACGGTGGTGGCCTCAGCATCGTCTCCGGCAGTGTGCGCGCGCTCGGCCTCAACGTCTCGCTCTCTGTCGCCAGCAACGGTGACGGTGGCGGCGTGTGGGCCACCAACGCAAGCTCGGTCTTTGAGCGCTCGACCTTTGTCGCCTGCTCTGCCGCAAAGGCTGGTGGCGGCCTCGCATACACGCTTCCGTCGAGCGACAACCTCCTTACTCGGGTTCTGGTCGACAGCTGCACTGCGGCCGGCGTCGGCGGCGGCATCGCCGCCCACGACTCGGTCGTCGTCTACGTCATCGACACCGTGATCACGTCGAGCACAGCCAGCTCTGCTGGTGGTGGCTTGCACCTGGCCAACGCGGCGTCGGTTACCCTGGCCCGTGTTGCGGTCGCTGGCAACACCGCTGGCGGCGCCGGTGGTGGCGCCGCTGTTGTCACCGCTGGTAGCCTTCGGCTCGAGGACGGCTCGCAGCTTACCCGCAACATGGCCACCAATGGTGGCGGGCTGTGGATCAGCTCCGACTCGCTGTGCGTCGTCACCGCCGCCAGCCTCGCGGCCAACAACGCGACGGCAGTCGGTGGTGGCCTTTACGTCAACGGCTCGGCCATCGCCCACGTTGTGAACGGCTCTGTGGTTACCGGCAACGCCGCGAACGACGGTGGTGGCCTCGGTGTCGATGCCGGGTGGCTTGACGCCAACGACTCGAGTGTCACCGCAAACTATGCTGCCAACGACGGCGGAGGCTTCTGGGTTGGCGCTTCCGGCCGCTTGGTCATGGCAGCGGCTGCGCTCGCCGAGAACACCGCCGCTCGCGATGGTGGTGGGCTCGCCGCGGCCGCCGGCGGCGACGCCAAGCTCGTCAGTGTTACTCTCGACCGATGCTCCGCCGCACGACATGGCGGTGGGTTGAGCATCACTGGTTCCGCAGCCATCGCCTCGCTCCTCGCCACCACAGCCACCAATTGCTCTGCCGCCGCCCATGGCGGAGGACTCTCGGTTACCTCGGCCGCGACCGTCACCCTAACCAGCTCGCACATTAACTCGTGCACTGCTGTCGACGGCGGTGGACTCGCTGTGGCAGATGCTGACGCTCGGCTTACCCTCATCGCCTCGCTCGTCTCGCACTGTGAGGCCGCGGCCTCTGGTGGTGGACTCTGGCTTGGCCCGGCCTCGCTTGGTAGCCTCCAGGCAAGCCGGATTGCCCATTGCACAGCCTTCATTCACGGCGGCGGGAGCATGGTCTCGGGCGCGAGTGCCGGCCTGGTTGGTCTGGACTCGTACTGGGACGGCAACATGGCGGTGCTCGGCTCCGGCGGCGGCGCTGCTGCCGATGCCGGTGGCCAGTTCAACGGCACCCGGCTTCAGTTTGCCGCCAACGTCGCAGCGTCGGGCGCAGGCGGCGGTGTCTTTGCCGCCAACGCCTCGCGCTGTGACCTCGACGACTGCCTCCTCGCCAACAACACTGCATGGCTGTATGGCGGTGGCATCGGGCTCGGCAGCGACGGCAGACTGGCCCTCCATGCCTCGGAGCTCCTCAACAACTCGGCAATCGCTCCCGCCTCGGCCTTTGGTGGCGGCCTCGGTCTCGCTGGGCCAGGCTCTTCGGCTGTGGTCACAAGTTCGCTCCTCGCTGACAACTCGGCAATCGACGGTGGTTGCATCGGCGTTGATGCCTCAGCGGTCTCCCCGGGCTCGTTTACGCTCATAGACTCGCAGCTGGTTGCCGGCTTTGCGTTGCGGGATGGCGGCGGCTTGTGGTGTGCCCAGTGCGACGCCTCGGTTGTCCTTGTCCGCGTCTCTGTGGCCAACGCCACCGCAGGCCGCGATGGTGGCGGCATGCTCTTTACCCGCACGGGCTCCAGTGGCGCAGCCTCAGTCGTGTCCGGCTCCATCGCCTCGTGCTCCGCCGCGAACGGCGCGGGTGGCCTCGCCGCCACCGCCGCCGCAAACGTCTCGCTCTCGGCCGGTCTCGTCCTCCGTCACTTGGTCGCCGCCTCGGCCGGCGCCGGTGGCATCGGTGTGTGGGACGCCGCCTTGGTGGCTTCGGATCTCCACATCGAGTCGTGCACCGCCGCAGGTGGTGGCGCAGGTGGCGGCCTGCTTGTCTCGGGCTCGGCTGCGAGCGTCCAGCTCGCCCGTGTTCTCGTCGAGTCATGCGCCGCCTCGGCCGCTGACGGTGGTGGGCTCTGGGCTGCCAACTCTGGTCGTCTCGCGGCCGCAGACCTTACGGTTGTCTCGTGCTCTGCCGCAGGCTCCGGCGGCGGGCTCGGCGCTGGCTCATCCGGCGTCGTGGACGTTCGCCGCGCGCACCTCTCGCACTGCTTTGCCGCACTCGATGGCGGTGGGCTCGGCTGCCTTGGTGATGCCCACTGTGCGTTCGACTCGGTCATCGTCTCCCACGGAACCGCAGGCCGGATCGGCGGTGGTGCTGCTGCTGCCACCGGTGGCATGCTGGTCGGCGCCAACGTCACGGTCGTCTTTTCCAACGCCACCCTCTCGGGTGGCGGGCTTGCCGCCTCAAACGGCAACATCTCGCTGACCAACTCGACGATTGCGGACAATGTCGCCAGCTGCATTGGTGCAGGCCTCGCCGCTGGAGGCGGCGGTGTTTGGGTCGAGGCCTCGCTTGTCTCGCTCGACGCCGCAGTCATTGCGCGCAACCGTGCCCTAGGTGGCTCGGGTGGCGGCCTGCTGGCCTCGGCTGCAGGCGCTGAGGCCGACGTCGTTGTCACAGCCTCGAGTCTCGAGGCCAACACGGCCGATCGCGGCGGCGGTCTCTTTGCTCGTCATGCCACCAAGTTGCGGCTGGCCGGCTGCACCGTCGCCGCCAACATCGCCGCCGGTCCGGTCGCTTGCGGCAGTACCGCTGTAAGCATCACCGCCGTCGAGGCCACGGCCGCCGCAGCCGCGGCGCGCGCTAGCGACACGGTTGGCGGTGGCGGTGGGCTCTGGCTCGGTGGCGTCTCTGCCGGCGTCGTTATCGCCGACACCGTTCTCGAGCGCAACGTCGCATCAGGCTGTGGCGGAGGCGCGCTCATCTTCGATGCAGCCGTCCCGACGCTCACAGCCGTCACCTTCCGTGCCAACCTTGCGCTCTGCGGCGGCGGCCTTGCGCTGTGGCGCGGCGCCGACGTCACCATTGCCGGTGCGAGTGCCTTTGACGCCAATCGCGTCGGCGGCGTCGCTGGTGCCGGTGCGGGTGCTGGCGCCGGTGTCTGGATGTCCGAGCAGGCGAGGCTGATCATGGCGGCTGTCGATGTCCGTGGCAATGTTGCCGAGGGCAATTGCTCCGCCGGCGCTGCTGGAGGCGGTTTTGCTGTCTTCAACGGCTCGGTCGCCATCCTCAGCAACCTCATCGTTGCCAACAATTCTGTCTCGGTTGCCGGTCCGGCCTCCAGCCCGGATCTTCGCGGAATCGGCCTCGGTGCCGGTGCATGGATTGAGGGTGCAGGCGCCGAGCTGGTGGCCTCGGGCGTCGCATGGCTCGACAACTCCGCCGGTTCGTCGCTTGCTCTGGGCTACGGCGGAGGCATTGGCCTCGGCCCGCTCGGTAACCTCACGCTGGCCGCGAGCTCGTCGGTCGTCGGCAACTCGGCGTCTGGCGACGGTGGAGGGCTCTACGTCTCGGCGAACGCGCACGCGCTCGTCCACGACTCGACCATCACTGCTGATACCGCCAGCGCCCGTGGTGGCGGTGCCGCCGTCTTTGGCGAGCTCCGCCTCGACCGCAGCGCCCGCATCGCACACTGCGTCGCCCTCTCTGGTCATGGCGGCTGTGTCTACATTGGCGCTCCTGGCTCCTTGCTCACCACCAACTCGTCGCTCGTTGGTTGCTCTGCTAGTGACGGCGGTGGATGCGTCGCCAACGTCGGTGGATCGCTCGCGCTCGCAGGCACTCTCCTCGCCGAGTGCGAGGCGACCAGCGGCGACGGTGGCTGCATCTACGCCGCGTTTGCCAACCTCACCCTCGAGGATGTCCACTTTGATGCTTGCTCCGCGCCAAGTGGCCGTGGCGGAGCCGTTGGCCTCGGCGAGCTCGCTCTCGTCGACATGACCCGCGTCCTCCTCACCGCCAACTCGGCGCTCTCGGGTGGTGGCGGCGTGTTTGTCGGCCGCGACGCGTCGGTCCGCGCTGTTGGTGGCAGAGCCGCTCGCAACGTCGTCAGCTGCGGCGTCGGCGGTGCCTGGCTCGTTACCAACGGCTCGGCCGTCCTCGACACCAGTCTCTGGGAGTTTAACACGGCCAATGGCTCGGCGTCGTGCGCCGGCGAGTGGGCTGCAGAGCCGTGGATTGGCTCGGGTGGTGGGCTCGCCGCTATCGGCGCTGCCACCTCGCTCGACATCTCCGACTCGTCCTGCGTCGCTGGTCTCGCCGATGCCTATGGTGGTGGTGTCTTTGTTGCTCACGGCACTCAAGTCTCTCTCACCCGCACCAACATCTCGGCCTCGTACGCTGGTCTCTCGGGTGGTGCGCTGGGCGTCTGGCACGCCTCGCCGCGCATTGCCTCGTCCAAGCTCGCCGACTGCATCGCTGCCCGCGACGGCGGTGGGCTCTTTGTTTTGGGCGAGAACGCAGCTCCAGTCTTCTCGAGTCTGCTCATCTCGGCATGCGAGGCCGGTCTCGACGGTGGCGGCCTCGCCGCTGTCCTTTCGTCGCTCACCCGCCTCGACTCGGACTCGGTCATCGACAGCTGCCGCGCTGGCCGGCTCGGTGGCGGTGTGTGTGTACGCGCCGCTGGCTCGGTCGTCGTGCGCGACACTGTCATCACGGGCTGCACCGCAGCGTCGGACGGAGGTGGGCTCGCAGTCTCTGGCCTGGCCTCGCAGCTCAATCTCACAGCCGCAGTCGTCTCTTCTTGCGTCTCGGCTGGTGACGGTGGCGGCCTTGCCTCTGTTGACGCCGGCCGCTTCGCCGCGGTCGACGTTGTGGTCCGCGACTCGGTCGCCGCGCGCGACGGTGGCTGCGCCGCAGTCCGCGACTCTGGCGTTCTCGTCGCCTCGGACTATCTCTTTGAAAAGTGTGAGGCTGCCCGCTCCGGCGGCGGACTCTGCGGTGACCGATCCGCACAGCTGGTCCTCGCCTCCGGCCGGCTTGTCGCAAACCGCGCAGTGGCCGGGAACGGTGGTGGCCTAAGCGTCGCGCTTGGCTCTGTGGTTGAGAGCGACGAGCTGGTCGTCTTCAACTGCTCAGCTGCTACCGCCTCGGGCGGTGGCGCCAGCGTCGTCACCGGTGCCCGGCTCACCGCCCAAGACCTCCGGATTGAAGCCTCGGACGCAGCAGTCGACGGTGGCGGGCTGCTGGCTGGCTCGGGCGCCCAGGTCGTCCTGGCCAACGTGAGCGCCATCGCCAACATCGCCGGCCGCTCGGGCGGCGGGCTCGCCTCGCAGTCGGGCGCGCAAATGGTGGTCTCGGTCTGTGTGGTCGAGGCCAACACTGCGGGTGCCGGCTCGGGCGGAGGCGTCTTTGGTCAAAACGCGGTCTTCAACGCTTCCGGACTGGCAGTGGTCCGCAATGTCGCCACCACCGGCTCGGGCGGCGGCATCGGCCTCGAGGCTATGGTCACATTTGACGTCAACCAGGTCGTCGCCTCGTCCAACGAGGCCAACTCGACCGGTGGTGGGCTCTCGATCGCTGCCGCAGACCGGGTCGTTCTCGCAGACGTCGAGCTCGGGACCAACACTGCTGGCTACGCCGGCGGTGGCTTTTATTTTGCCGACGTCGCCTTTTCGGCCATCACCGGCTTTGTCGTCGCTGACAACTCGGCTGGCAGCCTCGGTGGTGGCGGCTACGTTGGCTCGTCCAACGCGCTTGTCACCAACTCGACGGTGGTCCGCAACACCGCCGGCGATCGCGGCGGCGGCATCTACCTCCGCGACGGCGGCGAGCTGGTCATGGACTCGGTCGAGCTCCACGACAATGCCGCTGGCTCCGAGGGTGGCGGCGTCTTCCTCTCCTCGCTCTCGGTCTCGCGCATCATCGCCGCTTCCATCGTTTCCAACACTGGTGGCGCCCGTGGCGGTGGCGTCATGTGCGAGGCCTCGGCGGTGCTTGAAGTCCACACCTCACGGGTGGCGGCCAACACAGCCGCCACCCGAGGCGCCGGTATTGCTGTCGTCAGCTCGGCCTCGACCCTCCTCAGGTCCTCGATCGTCTCCTCCAACGTTGTGACCGACGCTGGTGGCTCTGGTGGTGGCGTCTACGCCGACTCGGGTGCGCTTGTTGAGCTCGTTGGCTCCATCGCTGTCGGCAACAACGCGTCTCTCGGCGCGGGTGTCGCCGTCGATGGCGCCAAGGCTGTTGTCAACGGCTCCTACCTGTGGGGCAACCTGGGCCGCGATGCCTGCGGCGGCCTGGAGGTCGTCGACAGCGTCCTCGAGCTCCATGCCCTGCCCGACGCCTCCGGCCTCGCTACTCGTGCCCTCCTCGCAGATGAACTCTCTGCTGCGCTTCACGGTGCGTCGCCCAACGCGCTGGCTGCCGTCGAGGCCGCATCACTCGTCGACGGCAACGTGGGCGGGCCGGTCGGAGTTTGGGACGAGACCATCGTCGGCTTCAACGTCGCCAACGTCGGCAACGGCGGTGGCATTTGTGCCGTCCGGTCTGCCTCGGTTATCCGCCACCTTGTCGCCCTCGGCAACGACGCACTCGCCGCGTCGGCCGGAGGCATCTTTGTCGCCAATGGCACTCTTGACGGTGCTGATCTACTGCTCGCCAACAACTCTGCCGCGCTTGACGGCGGCGGTGGCATCGCGACCGGCGCCTCTCTCGATGGCTCTTTCCGCACGCTCCGGGCCTGGCACAACGTGGCCGGTCGCTCCGGTGGCGGGCTGCAGGTCAGTGGCCCCGGTGTGGTGCGCGTCGCCAACTCGCGCCTTGAGAGCAACACGGCGGTGACCGGCTCAGGCGGCGGCCTCGCGGTCGACGACGCTCTGCCGATGGTCATCTCGACCACCCTCCGAGCCAACGAGGCCCGGGTCGGCTTTGGCGGCGGCGCCCATTTCTCGGCAGGCCCTGCTCCGTACACTCTTGTCGGCTGCACTGTCGACGCCAATGTGGCCCTCTCCGGCGGTGGTCTGGCGTTCCGCGACTCTGCTGTGGTAGTGACCGTCGATGCCAGTAGCCTCGATGCCAACACCGCGCTAGACTCGGGCGGCGGTCTATATGCTGCGAGCGCACTCTTCGGGGCACCAACCTGACCGCCACCCACAACCTGGCGGTCGCCGGCTCGGGCGGCGGTCTGTACGCCATCTCGTCGACGCTGGACATGCTCGACTCGCACCTCGCTGCCAACGCCGCTTATATGAGCGGCGGCGGCGCGTTCCTCGCCTCGGGTGTGGCGGGCAGCTACCATGTCTCTCGCTCGACGCTGGAGGCCAACGCTGTCGCCGCCGGCTCGGGCGGCGGAGCCTACGTTGCCGCCGACGTTGTTGCCACCTTTGCCGACTCGATCGTGCGGACAAACGTAGTTAGCGGTGACGGCGGTGGGCTCTACGCCAACGCCTCGTCGCCCCGGGTAGAGCGCACCCTCATCGCCAGCAACAATGCGTCGGGCTACGGTGGCGGCTTTGCCGGTTTCGGCTCGGCGGCTGTCTTTGTCGACTTGACTACCTCGGGCAACTCGGCGGAGCTGAACGGTGGCGGCTGGGCACTGCTGAGCGCCAGTGCTCCGGTGCTGAGCGGGCGGAACGTGGTTGCGGCCAACGCGGCTGTCGCCGGCGGCGGCGTCTTCCTCGCCGCCTCGTCGGTCCTCTCGGCCTCGCTTGTCGAGATCGGCAACAACACCGCGTCTGCTTTTGGCGCCGGCTTTATGGCCGAGACCAACGCCTCGGTTGTCCTTGTCTCGTCGCAGATTGTCGGCAACGCTGCTGCGAGCTATGGCGGTGGAGGTATCGTCGACGACGGCTATCTCTCGCTGAGCGACGTTTCGGTCATTGGCAACACCGCTGCAACCTACGGCGGTGGGCTTGTCGGCCGCATCTCAGTCGTTGCCGTCCACGCCTCGGTCGTCACTCGGAACGGCGCCGCGGCCGGCAGCGGTGGCGGCGTCCACGTCGTCTCGTCGCGCCTGGTCGTTCTCGACTCTGAGGTCACGCTCAACACTGCCAGCGCGAGCGGCGGCGGTGTCTTCCTCGCCACCGATGTCTACACCGCGCTCAACACCACAATTATCGCCGGCAACTCGGCCCACGCCGGTGGTGGGGTGTACGCGCTCAACTCGACTGCGTCGGTCCTTGGCTTTTCGGTCATCCGCGACAACATCGCAGCGGCCTCGGGTGGTGGCCTCTACTACGACGAGGCTGAGACCCAGCTGGTGGCCACGGTTGTCGAGGCCAACACCGCCATCGGCATCGGTGGCGGCATTGTGCTCACCGGCGGATCGGACCCGGTAGTCCAGGATGCGGTGCTCGCACGGAACACGGCGGCGTACGGCGGCGGCTTCGGCATCTCAGACGAGGCTCATCCAATCCTTGTCCGCACCACCGTCGTCCTCAACGTCGGTCTCATCGACGGCGGCGGCGCGTACGTCTCGGACGCAGGCATCGCCGAGTTCCCCTTCTCCACCTTTGCCAACAACACCGCGGTGGCCGGCAGCGGCGGCGGCATCGTCGTCGCCACCGGCTCCAACCTTGTCCTCGACGACACCAGGATCGAGTACAACAAGGCCGGCGCCTCGGGCGGTGGCCTCCACGTCGTCGACGGCTCGCTCAACATGTCGCGCTCAATCTTTGTCGGCAACTCGGCCGGCGATCGCGGTGGCGCCGTCTCGGCCCTCGGCATGATTTACTCGCAGCTGGTCGACCTTGTCTTTGACGGCAACTCTGCTGGCTACCACGGCGGTGCGGTCTTCCTTAACTCGTCGAGCAACGCCCGTGTCCTCCGCACCGTTCTCTCGGGCAACGAGGCGGCCACCGGCCTCGGCGGTGCCATCATGGCCTTCAACGTCACCGACGTCGAGCTCGACGCGGTCACCATGACCGGCAACACCGCCGACGGCGCTGGCGGCATCTTTGTGAACGGCCGCGCCCTGGTGGTACTCCGCAGTCAGCTCACCGCCAACACCGCACGCGCTGGATCGGGCGGCGCTGTCGTGGTCGCCGGCAAGTCGTTTGCCGTCTTTACCGCAGTCACCGTCGAAGACAACGTAGCGTTGGCCAACGGCGGCGCGCTAAGCTTCGAGACCCAGGCCCAGGTCCGGTTCGAGGACTCGGTGGTGAGCGGAAACAGCGCCGGGCAGGACGGCGGGGCGGTGTCGACCATCGCTGGCGCCGTCTCGACCTTTGTCTCGTGTACGCTCTCGCGGAACATCGCCCAGCGTGCAGCAGGTGTCACCATCCGCTCCGCCGAGTCCCTCCTCCTCAACTCGACCGTCGAGGCCAACACCGCGACAACGCTCGGTGGCGGTGTGTACATGGAGGACTCGAAGCTCACGCTGAGGTGGTCCAACTTTTCGGCCAACGCCGCCGTGACCAACGGCGGCGGCCTGTGGATGACCAGCTCGGTCTTTGACGGCTCCGACTCGGCCTTTGTGGCCAACTCGGCCGGCGGGGTCGGCGGCGGCATCGCTGCCTACGCCTCGCAGATCTCCCTTGCTGACGCCACCTTTAACGCCAACCGTGCCTCGCAGTTTGGCGGCTGCCTCTTTGGCGAGACACTGCACAACTCGACCTTCAAGGACTCGGTCTACTCCAGGAACGTCGCCCGCTCTGGCGGGTGCATGTACACCTTTAACGGGCGCTCAACGCACTTTTCCAACTCGCTCTTTGAGGCCAACGCCGTCGTCTCGCCTGACACTGCACGCGGCGGCGCGCTCTACGCTGAGCGCGACGAAGATCTTCATGTCACCGATGTGATCCTCCGCGGCAACTCGGGTGCGTCCGGTGGTGGCGTCTTTTGGCAGAGCGTGGTGTCGGCGAGCATTCTCCGGGTCACTGCCGAGGACAACTTGGTGGCTGTCCTCCCGTCGACCGGCGCCGGCCTCCAGCTCTCGGGCTGCTCCAACGTCAGTGTCCACGACGTCACCGCGCTCCGCAACTCGGCCGCCAACAACGGCGGCGGCATGGCGTTTGAGCAGGTCACCGATGTCACCATCTCGAACTGTGTGCTTGAGGGCAACACCGCCATCGCCGGTTCGGGCTCGGCGCTCTTCTCCACGCTCAACTCGCGCCGGCTCCAGGTGGTCAATGTGAGCGTGACCGGCAACACGGCCGCGCTCGCTGCCGTCCACATCGAGTCCTCGTTTGACTTTGTTCTCGCACACTCGGTCCTCTCCGGTAACCTGGAGGGCTCGCTGAGTGTGAGTTCCTCCACTGGTGCGAGCATCCACGACCTGATCGTGACCCAGGTGACCGGCGGTGAGCGGCCGGCGGTCTACGTCCGTGACAGCACAGGCGTCGAGTTTACCCGGCTCAACGTCACCGACATCAACACGGTGGTGGTCGGCGCCGCGGTGATGGTCGACGACACACCGCCATCGGCGTCGCGGGCAGCCACGGCCGAGGCCCTGGCAGGTGACAACCTGCCGACAGTCCTCTTCACCTCTTGTGCCTTTGAGCGCAATGTGGCCGGCGAAGGCGGTGCGGTCTCGCTCCGCTACGCCAACACTCGCTGGTCGCGGTGCAGGTTCGCCTCCAACCGGGCGCTCTCCATCGGCGGCGCCATCTCGGCGCGGGCCTCGATCGTCGGCACAAACCTGGTCACCGACTCGGTCTTCCTCGTCAACTCGGCCCAGGTCGGCGGCGCGCTCTTTGCCGGTGGAAGCTCAGTGCTCAAGGTGACCAACTCGCTGTTCGAGAGCAACGTCGGAGGCGACCTCGGCGGCGTGGTGGCCACGTCACGGACCGCGAGCCCGCGGCTGGAGGACTGCGTCTTCCGGCTCAACTCGGCGCCGCAGGGTGGCGTCGTCTCGTCGGACCAGAGCGGCCACGCCTTTGTGGTCGGCGGCGAGATTGTCGACAACGTCGGCGCCTTTGGCGGCGTGGTGTACACCAAGGACGCCGGCCAGGTCACGCTGCAGAGCGTACTGCGGCTCTCGCGAAACACAGCCGAAGCCGGTGGCGTCACCTACTCGTTTGGCGCGTCGGGCGTCCACATTCTGGACTGCGTCATCGAGGCCAACTCGGTCGACGACGCCGGACAAGGCGGCGTTGTTTTCGCCACCATCTCGTCGACGGTGGAAATTGTGCGGACGACGCTGACTCGGAACGTGGCCGACACCGGCGGCGCGGTCTATGCCACCTCGACCTCGTCCGTCAGCATTGTCGACTCGCTCCTCACCCTCAACTCGGCGCGGCAGACGCTCGACCAGGGCGGCGGTGCGGTGTCAATCGACCAGGGCGGGACTGTGGTCATCGAACGCGGCGTCGTTTCGCGCAACGACGCGCTCGACGGCGGCGGCGTGTACATGCGGTTCGACTCTTTGCTTGTGGTCCGCGGCACCCGCATCGCCGACCACTTTGTGGCCGGCCAGGGCGCAGGCATCTACTGCCGGCATTCGGGCGGGCAGATCCGGCTAGAGGGCGCGACAATCGAGTCGTGCCAGGCCTCGGACGGTGGCGGAGTGTACTCGCTCTGCTCAACCTCGGTCGTCGGCGGCGTGTTCGCCTCAAACAAGGGCAACAACGGCGGCGCCCTGACGACTGCGTCGAACCCGGGCCAAATTGCAGTGAGCGGTGGCACCGAGTTCCGCGACAACGTGGCCGCCTTTGGCGGTGCCATCTACTTTCTGCCCAACTCGACCGGCCCGTCGGCGGCGCTGGTCACCGAAGGCCGGTTCGACTCCAACTCGGTGGACATCGCTGGCGGCTGCGTCTACTTTGAGTCAGCCTTCCCGGTGGTCGACCCGTGGTGCGTCGAGTGCTCCTACACCGGCAACGTGGCCGAAGGTTACGGTCCGGTCCAGGCCTCTGTTGTCTCCAAGATGTCGATGATCTCGCAGTGGCCGCAGCTGAAGGAAGCCAACGAGCGGTTCGGGTCGGTCATTGCGCTGCAGGACTACTTTGAGAACACCGTGACGCGGACAACCGAAGGCGACCGGCCAATCCAGGTCATCATCAAGGTCGTCTTTGACTTTGACGGCGACGGCACCTACTCGGAGTTTGAGGGCCTCGGCACTCCGCCAGCCGTTCTGCAGGGCACGGTCTCGGTGCCGGTCATCGAGGGCCTCGCCACCTTTGAGAACTTGCTCCTCAAGGTACTCGACCTCTCGCAGCCGTACACGCTGCAGTGGACCTCGATTCCCGAGACGACGACGCTGGTCAACGAGACGGTGCGGAGCACGTGCGGGCCAGGCTTTATCGTCGACCGCGACATTGCCGGCTTTATCATCTGCATCCGCTGTCCGTACGGAACCTTTAACCGGCGGGCAGGCAGTATCACCTGCTTGCCGTGCCCGATCGGTGGCCTCTGCGCCGGTGGTGACGACGTAGGCTCGACGCCGGGCTTCTACGAGATCACCGACCCGAACGAAGAGGTCCCGGTCTTTAAGCGCTGCGGCATTCCGGGCGCGTGCTGTCCGACCCCGTCGGGGCTCGGCTTTTGCGCCGCCGGCTCGGCCCGGGTCTGTGGGCGCAACCGAGCCGGCGTGCTCTGTGCCGACTGCGCCGAGGGCTTCTTCCTGGTCTCCAACAAGTGCGTCAAGTGCGACGGGTACAACTGGCCGCTCATCATGCTGCTGCTCCTGCCTGCGCAGGCCTTTGTCATCATGACCCTAGCCAAGAAGCCCGGCAAGGGCGGTGGACTCATCAAGATTGTGCTGTACATGGCGCAGACGTGCCCACTCCTCATCGGGCCCATCTCGCCGTTCTTCAACATTTTCTCGGTCCTTCTCCTCTCGCCCGAGGTGCTCGAGCGGCTGGTGGTGGGCGAGCCGGACGAGAACTCGTCGTCGTCGTCGTGTCTGGCCCCGCTCTCCCCGCTGGAGAAGCAGATGGCGAGCCTGGTCATTCCGCTTGTCCTCTTTGCACTCCTCGGTGCCAACTTGCTCGTCCACCTAGTGCTCCGGATCGCCGGCGTCAAGTACTTTAAGCGGATGCGGCTGGACATGTACGTGGCGGGCGCGCTAGCCATTGCCGGCTTTTCGTACTCGACGCTGGCCAAGACCTCGCTGCAGCTCCTCAACTGCTTCCAAGTCGACGGCGAGCAGCGGCTGCAGGTGGCGCCGGACGTGCCGTGCTACCGTGGCGCGCACATTGTGCCGATGGTTCTCGCCATTGTCATTATTGTGCTGCTTGTCCTCCCGCTCCCGCCGATGCTCGCCGGCCTGCTGCGGTACTACCGCAACCGGATCCGCGACCCGCTGCGGCCGCTCGAGGCCAACGGCCTCCGCGACGCCGTTGTCACCCGCCGCTTCGGTGCGCTCTTTGGCGCCTACCGGCCGTCGGCCTACTTTTTCGAGGCCGTCGTCATCGGTCGACGAACGCTGATGACTGCGCTGTACGTGGCGTTCTTCCAGGATGGCCAGAACCGCCAGCTGGTGCTCATGATCGCGTGCTCGTTCCTTGTTATTATCCACATGGTGTACATGCCGTTTGTGGACACGGCGTCAAACCGGCTGGAGCTCTTCTCGCTGCTCGTCCTCACCCTCCTCGCCGCTCTCGGCGAGCCCGAGTCGGAGACCGAGGACGTGTTCTTCATCCAGTCGTTTGTTATCATGTCGTTCATCGGCTTCTTTGTCTTTGTCTACATCGGCGTCCTCCGCCGCGCGCTCAAGCTCTCGGACCTCACCTTCCGCGAGTTTGCAGCCGCAAAGCTCGCTGCCATCAAGAAGGCCCTGCGTCGGGCCGATGACGAAGGCTACTCGTCGTACCACTCGGACGTCGACGTGCTCGCCAAGTTTGCCGGCGCTCTCGACGAAGTCGAGGCCGAGTTCCTCCTCGAAGAGATGGCCGGCGAGCGCAAGCCGCACTGGTACGTCGCTGGCTCGGCCTCAGGCCTCCGCATCAGCGAGTCCATGTCAAGTATCGACTACAGCTCGAGCAGGACGAGCGCACTCGAGTCGAGCAGCGCCGAAAGCTCGAGCGGTAGCAGTGCCAGCTCGACCTCGGCCTCGAGCTCAGACTCGGCCTCGGCCTCGAGCTCAGACTCGGCTTCGGGTGCCGGTGTTGGGACAGTCGCCGGCAAGAACGCCACCTCACCCGCGGTTGCGCCTGCGCCGTCAGGAACAACCGAAGCTGACGATCCAGAGAGCTCGGCCTCGGTCTCAGCCTCGGTGACATCGATCATGTCGCGAGAGTCCGAGGTTGGCAAGGGCCTCCCGCGCTGGTCGCGCAACATGAGTGCCGGCCGGGCTCGACGCAACATCGACGACACCAGCTCGGGCTCGGGCTCGGGCTCGGGCTCGAGCTCGGACTCACACGCCTGGTCGTCGACTGCATCGGCCGACTCGCGGTCGGAGATCCACCGCGGGCACGGCCAGCTTGGCCGCGGTGCCTGCTCGGACTCGGGATCGGACTCGGACTCAGTATCGTCGGGCGCCGCACTTGCCAATCGCGTCGGCCATCTGCACTCGACCATGTCGTCAGTTGGCTCGCGGAGCGAAGCCGAGCGTGCTGCAGTGCGGCACGTCGGCAGCTCGTCAGCGTCGTCATCGTCAGACCAGACCTCGGCGCTCGTTGACACCGCAAACGACTCGGATCCGTGGTCAACGTCGGCCAGCTCGGCCATCTCGCGCAGCCATCATGCCCGCGCCGTCGCCGGCGGCGGGCGAGACCAAGACACGACCGTGTACTCGACCGCCACCGTCGACGAGACCGCCGACGAGACCACCGACAACACGGCACAGTTGTCGTCGGCGTCGATCGTCTCGATTGACTCGCGGCTGGACTGAGTAGCTAGCTACCTGTAAAGGCCAAGTGTCATACCACGTACGGGTGTGGGAGCATTGTCGGTAGCCAATCCCATGACAATAGCGCGTGCGATGTCGAGTCTGCCGTCAGGCATCCCTTCGCGGTTTCCCCATGCCTGCGAAAAACAAGTGATCTTGCGTCGACTGCCGTCCGACGCGACACCAGAGTGTTGGGGATGGCGATTACAGCCGACATGGGCAGTCGACTACGGATCCAGCCATAATGTTGTGGTCATCAGCACCAGCTACCACACAGAAAGTACACGCTATGTCGAAGCGCGCCGGTGCGGCGACGACGCCTTCGATCGTCTTAAACTGCTCTTGGTCGGCCACACATCATCCACCACGACGAGCAGTCGCCGCCCGAGCCGCGTCACCTCGTCCACCCGCGCGCGCACCACCTGCTGCATCTTCTCGACATTGCTGGTGGCGATGCATTGGTTGGTGGTAATGGATGGGATGATGGGTGAGGCGCGGGCGACGGCGCGGGAGTGTGCGAGCTCGACGCTGCTCCCGGGGAAGGGCCACGACACCATCATCGTTGTGGTTGAGAACAAGCGGCCACCGTGAGTCCACAGTATGCCCACCATCCGCCATCTCGTCTTCATCTACGCCCTCAAGCCACATTGGCCAGATCACCACCATCACCCGCCGACCAACCCGCCGACCAACCCGCCGACCAACCGACCCGACCGACCGCCTCGCCACCAGCACCTCGGTCCTTGCTGCTCTCCTCACCTCCGGCCCACACCTCACCTCTTCCCCGTACCCCCGTTCGACCGCACACACACACACACCTCCCGTCTTCACCCCCCCCCCCTCCCCTCTCCGCTGCTGCTTGTTCACCTGGCTGCGCTTGGTGGGCCGAGTCCGTTGAGAGGTGAACATGAATTTCACGTCGGGCAACTTGAATTTGGGAGGGGATGCTTACTCCCGGCAATCGGCTCAAAGCGCTCAATCTCTGCCTCTGCTGCCGCATGACGGGGAGATTGTGACTCGGGTGGTGCAGAGGAATGTGGTGGTGCCGGTGGAGGAGGCTGTGACAGAGGTACAGGCCGTGCCAAGAGTCGAGGACTCGGTCGAGGTGAGGAGCGTGCCGTACACGAGGCTGGTCGAGGTGGAGGAGATGATCGAGGAGGACGAAGAGTACATCGAGATGGAGGAGGTGACAAGGACCGTGACACGCATCGAGTGGGTGCCCAAGGAAGTCATCGAGACAATCGTCGAGTCGGTCCCGGTCAAGAAGACCCGCCGTGTCTCCCGCCCGGTCAAGCGAGTCAAGGAGGTTCACGAGACTGCACAGGTCTCCATCCCAGTCTCACGCCTCGTCGTCGACCAGATTCCGGTCACTCGCACTGTTACTCGCCTCGAGCACCGCACTCTCGACGAACCGCAGGCCTTCCGCCTCACCGCCGTTCCCATCAGTGCACCCACCCCGTCACACCCCTCTCCGTCACACCCCGCCCCGCCCTCCCACTCCCCGCTCCGCATCCAGCACACCGCTGCCACTCCATCGTCGCCATACGCTCCGGCCCGGACCCAAGCAGCAGCCTCGGTCGGCAGGCTTCCGACCTCAGACCATCGCCTCCTGGTCCACGTCTCACCGCCGCACGCTACCCAAGCCACCCGTGTCCCGTCATGGTCTCCACCGATTGTTGAGCGGCTGCCACCCACGCCGTCGCCGCAGCCCCGGACCGAGCCGACGCCGCCGTCGCGACCTTCTCCGTCGCCGCCGCCGGCATCGCCGGTCGACGCTCGCCGTGCCGAGCTCTTTTCGCGCTTCTCCTCGCCGCGCCTCGCCGTCCACCCGATCGGCCCGGGCGGGTCGACCAACAACGCGCGCCTTTACTCGCCTCCTCACCGGTAAACGTCGTGGATGCCGCCTAGCTCGGCAGCCGAGCCCACATACGCCTCGTACTCGTCGCCGCGATGGCCGACGTCAAGCACCACGCCTGCCGTCGACGCCGCATCCCACGCGTAGCTCGCACATGGCGCGAGCGCCGTCGCCGGGGTGAGCACCGTCTCGGCGAGCGAGGCGTACGTAGCATACAGCTCGGCATCCGCCTCCGGGAGCGGCCGGAGCTCCGCATCGGGCTCCGGGAACGGCTCGGGCGCGTCGATCCGCGACCGTGCCGTGTACTTTGCGCTCCGCGACGAGATCGAGGCATTGACCCGCATCCACCGCGAGACACCGCCAAGCCGCTCGATCGTCGACTTGCCGCCCGACGAGATGGCGCCCTTGGACCGCATAAACGGCGAGACGTAGATCGAGCGCTTATCCGGCTCGGCGGCCTTGCGCTTGCGCCGGAACAGGCCGCTCCGCCGCTTGCCCGCATCAGGCTCCTCACCGACCGCTGACGACCCAAAGTCCGACTCGTTGTACACCACCAGCTTGGCGTACGTCTGCAGGTGCTCGGTGAGCTGCGTCAGCTTGTAGCACTCATACGCATGATAGAACGAGTCGGCCGCCGCCGGCTCGAGCTGCAGACTCGCCCCGACCGCGTCGACCTGTGCCGCAACCTGGTCGTGCGCCGCCAGCCCGCGTGACCAAAACGCGGCCTCGTGCCGGATGCACTCGAGGAGCGACGGGAGGCTCGAGAGGTGCGCCGCGTCAGACGTCGGATGCAGCTTGAGCCGCGGCGCCACAAACCGCGGAATGACCTCGTTGTGCAGATAAAAGTCGGTTTCGAGCGCCCACAAGTGCTTCTTCTCCGGCAGCGGGACGTAGAGCCCAAGGAACAGGTTCGTCGCCTCCTGCTTCTCGGCATCGGTGAACGAGTTGGAGTAGTACCGCCGGATGGCGGTCATCATGTCGCGCGAGTACGACGACCATGTGTTGTTGCGGTACGTCGCCACCCGATGGTTCAGTTGCGAGCCGCCGTACTGCAGCGCAATGTGGTCGCCCATCTCCTCGTACATCAGCGTCACCGCGTCCATCAGCAGCGTGTCAAACTCAAGGTCCGGCGAGTCAGCCAGGCCGAGCGCAAACAGCTGGTGCCCGAGCACCACCTTGCCGAGCACAAACTGCGCCGCGTTAGTCCGGTCCAGCGAGTCGATGCAGTTCTGCCGCGCCACACCAACTTGCTCCAGCCCGAGCCTGTCCCGCCCGTACGCCGTGGCCTCGTACTCGAGCTCGGCCGCCATCACAGGGTTGCGCGCGAGCTCAGCCTCCACCCGCGCCGGCCGGTAGCCGGCGTGGAAGAACCCGGTCGTGGCCACAATGGCCTTGGCCCGCGCCGTGAGCTCGGCAATCACGTCCGAGTCCTTAGTCTTGGCCGACCGGTGCATGTCAAACGCATGGAACCGGATCCGGTGCTCCGGAGGAATAGCCTTGTTGAGCTTGGCCACTGCGTGCGCAAACTCGATGCCAATGATCTGCTCGCGCGGCACCTTCTCGCGCTGTTTCACCAAGTTGAGCACCAGCAGCGGCGAGCCGTACCGCCGATACAAATCCTCAAAGTGCAGCGCTGTGGCCGAGTACGCAGGATCCGGCGCGTGGAGCACAATCGGCGGCTTGGGCGTCACAATCGACTGCTCCTGCGACCAGTGGAGCGGAATCGAGCCGCGGAGCGTGACGTACGACGCGAACGAGCCCGAGTCAAAGTGCGCGCTCGCCATGTTGGCCACAATCTGCTCCGTCTCCACCTCGTTGGCCACCTTGCCGCGGTCAGAGACTCCGCGCTTGAGGTACCGCGTCCCAGCAAAGAACCGTGACCGCCGCGCAATGAGCGTCAGCACCAGCGGCGCGTCAAAGACCGTCACAATCCGCTGCCGGAAGAAGCCGTGCACCACAGGCAGGACCCAGTCCTTGCGAGTGAGGGCTGGCCACACGTCCTTGAGCAGGTACAGGTTCCAAATCCACGTCCGCTCGTCGGGCATCGACGCAAAAGGGTGCGGAAACGACGGCTCCGACGCTGCGTACCCGTCCGATGACGTCGTCCGCGGCTGCACCACGCCGGCGTTGAGCAGCGCCGTCCGCGAGTACGGATGCTTCATGTTGTACTGCAGCGAGTGCGAGAGGTCGTAGGTGTAAGAGAAGAAAAAGTCGTGGACGAGCTCGATCTTGGAGAAGATGGAGGTGTACCTGCCCTCGTCGAGCGAGTGGATGCGGACCGAGGGATGCGGAAGGTAGACGAGTTGAGTAGCGGCGATTTTGTAGATGCGATGCGGACCGATGTAGCCCACCACTTCCCTCTCTGTCACCACCACCATGTAATAACCCTCCAGAAACCTCACAAAGCCCAAAATACCCACACCGGAAACCACATGAGTAAGTCCGCCGGAAGCCTTATTTCCATCCGCCACCATTGCCAGCAACTCTTCCACTTCTTCTCCACCATATCCCGTCTCATCTTCAGCCAGTACCAGTTCCCTTGCTTCCATACGTTCGATCTTGAGCACTCGATGTTCACTTCCTTCTTCATCCCGCCCAACAACATAGTACCGCGACCGTGTCTCATACACCTCGAACTGAGTGAGCCCACCACACACCGGCGGGAGCCGGTACCGACTGCTGGGCCGAGGGCGTCGCATGGGGGGTGGGGTGGGGGGGGGGGGTGGGGGGGGGGGGGAGGAAGGGGGGGGGGGAGGAGGGGGGGGAGGGCGAGTGAGGTGGCTTGGTGGTCGTCACAAGACAGGAGACGGGCGTCAGCGAGTTGGCCGACTCTCGCCTGGTTGGTGGCTAGCCGGCCGACTCTCGCCTGGGCGACCAACGACCAAGGCTCGCCTTGTCGTCCGTCACCAAGACATCCATCCTCCCACCCACCAAACTACCGCACACACATCCCACAACACTTCCCTCACCTCACACACAACACCGTGCAAACGCTGGGCTGTTAAAAACTCAGATCCGCTCGTAGGCAACCTGGCACGGCTTGGGCCCGACAACAAGGCCGGTGTAGTCCTGCTCAGGGAAGGGATCGACGAGCTTGAGCTTGTACGACCGGAGCAGGACCGAGAAGATGGTCTTGATCTGGAGGTAGGCAAAGTTCTCGCCGAGGCACCCGTGGCGCCCGCCGCCAAAGCCGGCAAAGGCAAACCGGGCCTTCTTGTCCTCCTCGCGCGGCGGGAGGAACCGCGTCGGGTCGTACGTCTCGGCGTTGGTGAAGATCGACTCCACCCGGTGCGAGACCGGCGGCGAGACAAAGGCAAGGTCGCCCACCGGCACGGTGTAGCCCTTGACGCTGAACGCCTTCTTCACCTTGCGCATGACAAAGATGAGCGGCGGGCAGAGCCGGATGCCCTCCTTGATCGACACATGGAGCCGGTCCATCTTCTCGAGCACGTCATAGTTGAGCTCGTCGCCAAACTCGGCAATCATGGCCTGCTGCTCGTCGAGCACAGCCTGCAGGTGCTCCGTGTTGTCCACCGTCGAGTCCGACCGCAGCAGGTGCAGCAGCGTCGACGCCGACGAGTTGGACGACGTGTGCTGTCCGGCAAAGAGCAGCGAGATCATGAGCCCGGTCACCTCGCGGTCCGTCAGCGTCCGCCCGTCCTTGTACTGCGCGTTCATAAACTGGTCGAGCATGTCCGTGTAGATCTTGTCCGGGTTCGCCCGCCGCTCCTCCATGATCCCCGCAAACAGCTTGACCATCTCCTCGCGCGCCGCGTTCCGCGCACGGTGCGCAGGAATCGGGAGCTCAGGGAAGAAGAACGTGATCGGGAGGAGGCCCTCGTCAAGTGCCCGGAACAGCTCCGCAACCTGCTCAAACATGTGCTCGCGCACCTCGGGGCCCATCAGGCACCGCGACGCAGTCAGGATAATAAGCTCAGAGAAGACCTGGGCCAGGTCCACAGTCCCGGACTCGCCCCACTTGCCAAAGTACTGCCGCGCCTCCAGCACCATGTCGTCCACGTACGACCGCAGCACGTCAGACCGCAGCGCAGACGACATGAACTTGATCTGCTCAATCCGGATCGGCGTCGGCACATCGTACACAACACCCTTGCCGAAAATCGACACAGAGAACTTGTACACCTCGTTCTGCGACATGTCCGCATCCTTGCCCTTGAAAAACGGCTCAGATGCCTCCGGTCCCACAAGGAACGTCAGCCGCTGGTTCGCAACCTTGATGGTAAACACCTCGCCGTACCGCCGGTACGAGTCGAGCGCAAGCTGGTACGGGTTCTTCATAAACGCAAGAATAGGGCCCACAATAGGGAGCCCTGTAGACACAATCGGCGGCGCATTGGCAGGCTGTCCCCTCCCTTGTGAGTTTCCGCGCACACACACCCTGCCCCCCCCCCCCCCCCCTCCCCATCACCGCCTCGGCCTTCTTGATCACACGCCCGCGATCACCGCCACTTCAACGAAAAAGGTCGTAAAGGTAGGGCGCGCTCCTCACACACACACACACACACACACACACCCTGCCCCCAACCACCACCACCTCCTCCTCCACCCACCACCCCCATTCCCTACCGCAACCACCTCCCCCACTCCCTCCCGCTCCCTCCTTCCTGCCCTCCATTCCCTTCCCCCCCCCCCTCGCTCTCTCGTCACTCTGCAGGTGGATGCCGTGGATGGCTCGCCGCTGGTTTGGCCGCTCGACACCGCCACGTGGGGGGAAACGGGAGCAAGTGAGAATGGCGACAAGCCGGGCATGCTTAACATACGGTAAAGCCAATGAAGAGGACAAAGAGAAGAATGGCCGCAACAACCCCAATGACCACATACGGGTTGGACGCAAGCGTCAGCAATGTGTTCAGCATTGTCGAACGTGCCGAGGGGGGGAGAGGTGCCGTTGTGCCCGCCACCGCTACTGTCCTCGGCAAACGAAATCGTTTTCCCCCTCATCAATACCCTTGCTGACAATCACCGCCCAAACACGCCAAACTGGCGCTTTTTTTTTGCCACCATCGCATACACCGCCACCGCGTCAACCTCCCGCAGCTCACCCACAACACCTTCTGCTTTACAACCACTCACATCAAACAACAAGGACAGCTCAGAGAAGGTATGCTAATCACAAAAGAAGGGGACAACGCGGCATCATGCCGCTAAATCGACAAATTTCACGCAGACTGGCTCAGGGTCATGGTTCCAAAATTCTCCCCACGCGCCTCCTCCACCACTGCAGACCTCCCCTTGCGACACTCGCATCACAAGCAGCATAATACTCTGCACACGATCACAACCCCTACTCTACTTCATCTAGTCAGCCACTTTACGGCTCTTGGTTTTGAATTTTGGACGTTGGGTACGGGACCGATGACCCGACCTTACCCGGTTGTCCAAAAAAAAAAAAAAAAGCAAAATTGTCCAACTTACGCACGACTACACGCTCGACACCGAGGTCATTAACGACAGCGGCTCGTCGTCAACAATGGCGAGCGTCGAGGGCATGACCTCCTCGCCTTCCTCCTGACCCATGCCAAGCTGAGCATTCGTGGAAAACGTCCGCATTTCAAAGTCCGAGACGTTGTCGCAGACCTCAAACTCGCGCACACCATGCTCTGCAAATACGGCCTCAACCTCCGCCTTATCGTGGGCACGGATCTGCGACACCTCGTACCCTACGGCCACAGCAAGGCCAACCACAAGCACCAAAAGCGCAGCAACGACAATCATGTCGCGAAGAAGCGGAACAGAATCGATGGTTCCGAACCAGAGCACCGCAATGCTGCACGCCAAGGTGAACGTCTCCAGCTGGTTGTGGTACTCGGCAGTGTATGGTTTGTGGTTGCCGACCATCCCGGCCATGGCAACCACAAACAGCACAAGCGCTACCACGCTGGCCTTGACCACCGGCGATGCAAAAGCGCAGACCGCCACCACCACCACGAGCTTCCGCCCCATGATCGCCAGCTCATACCAATACAGCTCCGCCTTGTACTTGGCCACAAGGAACGCGTACCGGCTGCTGAACGTCACCTCATCCAGCGCTGCAGCCTGGCGCCGGAGGAAGACCGCCAGCCCCGCAGGAATCGAGAGCCCGTACACAGCCGCCACAGTCACAATCAACGGGAGCAGCCCGTACCACGCGCTTGTGTAGCACCGCCGCTGAGGGTTGGTCGTCATCACCACGATCCCACCGCCGACATCGGTGCAGTCAAAGTACCGCAGCGCCGCGTACATCAGAGGCAGGTACAACAGCAGGATTGTCTGCAGATACCCACGTCCGGCGGCTCCAACCACTCGCCCGTTGGCAGCAAACATGGCACTCTTGGACTCGCGGAAATTGAAAACCACGCAGAGGATGGCAGTCACAACCACAAACGGAAGGAGGAACAGAACCGGCAGCGCCATCGTCATGCCCCACTTGAACATCCACACATCGCCCACGTCCAGCCCGCACTCGGGCGACGCAAGATCGAGGTTGAGGTTGACCATCGAGACCGCGTCAAAGATCGCTTCCGCCACAGGATGCCAGTCGAGCTGGATCGTCCCGTAGATCGCCACCGCCTGGAGCGTGTTGAGCGCAATGACAAACGCAGCGTACCCGTACACCTTGGTGTTCCGCGTGTTGATCCACACCACTCCGGTGACGTAGGCAAAGACAAGCACAACAAGCACGACAATGATCGCCACGTTCGAGCCCTTGCACTCGCGGCACACATCACCGAGTCGGTAGTAGCCCGACGAGCACTGCGCGCACAGCCGCCCGCGGTATCCGGCAGCGCACTTGCCATCGCCCATACACGCTGCAGGCTGTGGACACGTCACAAACGCTTGCCCATCGTCCGAGGGCTCATGTCCAGGCGCAGCTCGCGGCGGCGTCGTCCCGCCGGCACAGATCGCGCCCACCGGACACAGCTCACATCGCTTGCCGCGCACACGCTCGCCAGTCCCAAACCAAAACGTCGGCAGGCAGGTGCAGTTGAGGAACGATGACGACTGCTCGGGCGAGGTGGTAAACTCGGGGCAGATGCTGCACGCCACCGCGTTCACGGTCTCCGAGAACGTGCCCGCAGAGCAGCTCGTGCAGCGGACGCCATCGATGACCCGCGTGCCAGGCACACAAGTGGCAGACGCTGAAACCACAAACGGCGAGCCCACAATGTCCTCGCCACCGATCTTGACCGCAAGCGTGTACGAGCCGCCCTCGACCACCACAATGCCAAACTTGATCGAGCCCGGCCCCAGTTCTACGCCCGTCACAGCAAAGGTGTCAGCTCCGCGTTGAAGCGCGATGCTCACCTCGGACGCGGCCAGCGCTTGCGTCAGCACATTGCCAAACTCGTCGGTCACCACCACATTGTACTCGGTCGTTGCAGACGTCTCGATCTGAAGCACGCCCGAGGTCGGCAGATCAACGAGCGTGCTCGATCGCCCGTCCGGCGCGCCGGGCACCACCTCGACCGCAACATTCGTGACTCCGCGGGTAAAGAGCTCACCATTGGCCCCGATGTCGTACATGTAGCTGCCCACCGTAGTCGGCACCGCCACTCTCGCGCTGTACTCGCCGGTCGAGATGTACGTCGTCTCTGCCACCGCGTTGGCCCCATCACCACCCCGCACAACTGCCAGCGGCAGATCGTTGCCGCTTCCGGCAGCGTTGCCCTCCGAGTCACGGAGCGAGACACGCAGCTCCCACGTGTCACCGGCCGTGATCTTGAGCGGCATGCCAATAGGCGCACCCGTTGACTGCGAGACATTGACCGCCGAGCAGAATGGGGCCGGTGCCGACCACATTGAACTTCCAAGACACTCGAGTGCGTCGGCTCCGACCTTGGTCAGCCCGTTCAAGCACTCGAAGGTGCAGATCTCGCCAAAGATGCCCGGCGTGGCTGTACTCGATCCGTTGGTGCAGCTGACAGAGCCAAACGCCGGCGGCGCAAGGCCCGGGCACGCCACCCTGACGCACACGGCCGGCAATCCAGTCCAGGTTAACCCGGTGCACGTTCGCACCGCATCACCGGCCACAAAATCCGTGCCGTCGATGCAGGTTGTCACCGCCACAGAGCCGGCGTATCCATAGTCAGAAAACGATATGGTGCCGTTAGGCGGAGGCTGTATCAGCTCACACGCGTATGGCGGAGGTGGCGATGGTGGCGGTGGCGGCGACGGCGGCGGCGACGGCGGCGGCGGCGATGGCGGCGGAGGTGACGGTGGCGGCGGAGGTGAAGGCGGCGGCGGCGATGGCGGCGGAGGTGAAGGCGGCGGCGGCGATGGCGGCGGAGGTGAAGGCGGCGGCGAAGGCGGCGGCGACGGCGGCGGCGAAGGCGGCGGCGGAGATGGCGGCGGCGGAGATGGCGGCGGCGACGGCGGCGGCGGAGATGGCGGCGGCGGAGATGGCGGCGGCGAAGGCGGCGGCGGAGGTGGTGGCGGGGGAGCACACTTGACCGCCGGCGGCAAAGCTGCCCATCCGCCTGCCTCACACAGCACAGTATTCGCAGTCGAGCCACCGTAGAGCATCAAGCCGCCCGAGCACGTGATCGTGATAGAGTCGCCAACTATGTGCGATGTCGAGCTCGTGACCCCTGACGTCGAGAGCGTGCCCGAAGGCACCGATGGGTACTCCCCGCAGACCGGCCAAAACTCGAGCGAGAAGAACGAGTCTCCGTTTCCGAGCTCAAGTAGATAGCTGTGGTCAGGTGCGGTCGTCAGCTCCAGACGGAACAGCAAAGCTCCAGAGAATCCATCGCTGTTGAGCACATCAGTCACAAACTTGGAGAAGCCAGCTTTGCGCTCGTCGTTGATGTCAAACTCGCTAACCTCGCCTCCGGGATGGGAATACTCCCATGATAACGAGGATAATGGCAGGGCATTGAGGCCATCATTGTCGGACCATGGCGTCTCTAATAGGGCCTCGCCACGGTACTCGTTGGAGTCGTACGCAGTCATCCTCATGGTAGCAGCATCATCCGCCTCGTGCAGGCCCTTAAAGCCGATTTTGGTCCGCGACGACGCAAAGTACAGGCCAGTGGAGGATGACGGAATGTCGATCACCCTCAGCGCCAAGAAGGATTCCTTGAGAGAGACAACAGCCCCAGGAGCACTTGTGTCACCAGAACCATTGTCTTGAACTCGTCCATCAACACCATTGTCAAAGCTACGTTCGTAGAGCGGCGGTGCAGCATCGGAAAAGGCCACTGAAAAAAAGACCACAAAAGCCAGCGACAAACACCATGGCCGGACGGAGCACGGTAGCCTTGGGCAGGGCATGGACAGGACGAAAAAGCAACAACAGAGTTATGCAAGACGGCACTAGTCGTTGTATTGGCAGGGGCAGAGACAACAACAGCAAAGATTCCGTGGTGCGGGGAGTGGAATGTCGCCGCCTTGGGCACACGCTCGTGCGGTGTGGCGGTGCGGGCCGTCAGCCGGACCTCGAACAGATGACAACCAACACAGCGGAGAAACGGTGCGGAGATAATTTGCCGGTCAAAGGCACGAAAAAAAAGGTTGCGTGGCTAGCCGAGCCACCCTCCCGTAGCATCTGCTGATTGCGAGCACTCATGGCTCTACAACAACGTCAAGTAGACGTTGGAAAGCATAAGAAACCACAGGCGATGGAGGGGGGGGGGGGGAGGTAGTGCCTCGCAATCATGCCTTCCAGATCGATGAGCCGAGCAGCGGCTAGCGAGCGTCGGCATGAGGCGGCATCGTCTGGTTGCGAACACAGAACACATGGAAAGCGCACAATGCAAGAGGTTGCAGAGGGTGCAGAAGTTGCAGATGGCTGAGAAGAGGGTGAGGAGGCTCGCGATCATGGCTTCAAGCTCGATCGGCCTGCGGCAAGAGGAGCGCGTTCCCAGCCATTCCTTCTCGAATTCCTTCTTAATCCCCTTCCTCGCGCCACCGAACAGAACGACAACCCGAGCCAAGCGCCGAGCCATCACCTGACTCTTACCGTCTTGCGACTCGGTCGAGAATGACCTCTGCCGGCGATCTCGCTCCTGGGCCGTTTGCTCACTTTCCGCTGCGAGAAGACGAGGTCACCGTCTGCCGCGAAGAGGTGCTCGGGTGCCGGCAAGGACGCCTCGCCAACTGCTTTGTCGTTGCTGCCATCCACGCCATTGCTGCTGCTGCGCCTGATCTCGTGCCAAAGGCTCATGTCGATGATCATGAAGGAACAATCGCCTTTGTTCTGCACATCGGCGAGGAGATGATGCCCACTCGAGTGGTCGTCGACGACACGCTGCCTGTCGACGACTCGGGCGCACTGCGGTTCATGTCCTCCTCCTCTTCGCCCATGCTGCCGCTGCTAGAAAAGGCCTTGGCCGCGCGGTATGGATCGTACAACGCACTTCAGGGCGGAAAGATCTCCGAGGCTTTCGCGGACATGCTCGGTCTTCCTGTCGTCACCATCCGGCTCTCGCCGGCGTCCAAGCTCGCCTCCATCGCCGCCGCCGCCGCCCTGTTTGCCGCCGGCTGCCCCATCGGCCTCTACCGATCCTCGCGCAACGTGACCGAAGAGAAGCTCTCACCGCTGCCTCGTGGGATGGATGTGCTTGACGACCACGCGTACGCGGTCATTGCCGTGGCCGACAACGCCGTGTGCGTCCTCAATCCACACGTCGACCGCCCGCCCAAGCGCAAGACGTCGTCGGCCCGTCCTGCACCGCCCGGCGCGTCGTGGATCACGCTCAAGACCGTCATCCGCAGCTTCACTCGCATGGTCATCGCTCGCGCTGATGCGCGCGTCCACGATGTTGTCACGGGCGAGTTTGAAAGAGCAGACGGCGTCAGCACGACACGGATGCCATCCCAGCGGCGCTCGACGCTGCGAGCCTACCAGCTGGCTCGCACAAGCCGCGAAGGAGCAAAGCTCCGTGTCATCGCCTCGCTCACCGTCCCACACTCGCCATCGGCCAGCTATCCGCCGATTGGGATAGAGGCGCTGGTGCCGACGGCAGGCGCAACGGCCGAGCGAGATGCCGCTTGTGGCGAGGCCTCGCCGTGGCTTGGTGCAGCGCTGGCGTACCAGCGGCTGGCAGTCTCGCCGTACAGCAACTCGCGCGAAGCCAGTCTCGTCTTTTCGATGCCTGCCTCCAGCCCGGTCTTTCTTCAGCCAGCGATGTACGATGGGCAACTGAGCGGCAGCTACGCGCTCACGGTGGCAACAGTGGGTGATGGTGACGACGACGGCGTCGCGCCGGTGACCATGACTGTCGTCGACCATCCTCTTCACGACGACTGGCCATCACGCGCCGCGATTGATGGAGCGTGGAAGCCGGGAGCGTCCGGCGCCGTCTGCACTCCCTGCTTTGCTCTCGACATCCCAGCTGATGGAGCCGTCGTCCACCTTGGCCTCCATCCGATCGAGTACAAGGCGAAGAAGAAGGCTGCGGTGCCACGCAAGGCGTCGGCGATTGCCATCCTGCCAGGCAGGACGGTGCCGTCAGGGGCGGCGTGCTTGAGCGAGTCACTAGTTGCAACTACGTTTACCAACGCCAGGACGGTTGCGACGACGGTGATGCTAGCTGCAGGCTCGTACGTGGTTGTGCCGCGGGTGATGGGCGCGCACGTCGCCGGCAAGTTCACTCTGCATCTCTGCTCCAAGGTCGCAGGCGTTGAGCTGGAGCTTCTCGACGCGTTCATCGACCATGGCCGGGCAGGTGCCGGCGGCGGAGCGGGTGGTGGGGGCGGGGCGCTGGCGGCGGCGGCAGCAGTGGTCCGCGGCATGTCGACCAGCTATAGATCGGGGGGGCGCGGACACAGGGCGCGAGGGCGCGGACGCGGGGCGCGAGGACGGGGACGCGGGGCGCGAGGGCGCCGACAGACGACTGGCGCTGGGCCTTCTGGAATGGGCTCGCTCTATGCCGGACTGGAATGAGGCGGCTGCTACTGGCCAGCGACACGGCGCCGGCCCAGGCGCGAGACGGCGGGAATGTCGGCCGCGGCGGCAGGCTTCTGCTTTGAGACGATGCCGCGGCAGGCCTGGCCGCGTTCGACCTTGTCGATGGCAATGGCGACGAGGGCGTCGACGTCGTCGTGCTCCTTGCGGACTTTGATGTCGTAGTCCTCACCGACAAGAACATTGGCAAAGTCTGCATGGCCGCAGGCCTCTGCGTTTGCGCCGACGTATATGTCGGCGTCGCTGGCCATGGCGGCGACGACCCGGTAGAGGCTGCGGTCGAGGTGGGCCATGCTCTGCTTGAGCATCTCCAGCTTGGCCACAAAGTTCTTGTCCTGAAACGCCGAGTAGCCAGGCAGCTTGTGGCCGATGTACCGGCTGACTTGACCCACCACAAGCTCGACCACGATCCTCAGATTGTCTCTGATCTCGAGCATGCCGGCCGGGAGCGGCATGAGCGGCAGCGAGCCCTTCTCCATCAGTCTTCTCTGCTGATACGTGTTGCTCAAGCCGGCAAAGCCCTTCTGCAGCGCCTCGACCTGCTTCAGCGCGTCGTTGACCTTGTACGGTAGCGACTTGACCGGATCCATCTCCTCCTTGGCCGAGAGCTTGGGCTCACTGCCGCCCAGCTCAGCCTCATCCAAATCATCGAAGTTGACCATGCCAACCTCGTGCCCAACCCCATTTCCACCATGGTTCCCATCACGAGTGTCATCAGCCAGCGTTGCCGAGCCAGCAAGACGGCAGGACGCCAGTGCCGTCATCGGTGGTGACCACGTAGGCGACGGCGGCGAGGGCGAGCAGGAGGGCAGCGAGGAGGACGACGGTCACGTTCGAGTCTGGAGAAGAAGTAGAAGAAGTACTTGCGGCTGTAGTAGTCGTACTCCCACTTGTCTTCCTCTTGGTCTTCTTGCCTGTCCCTGTCTTCTTGCCCATCTCTGTACCTGTCCCCGAAAGTGAGGTGGTGACGTCAGGCGGCTGTGGTGGCACCCACGCCGATCCCACCGATTGATCAGTACAGACACCGCATTCCCTGATCACGATCACGATCACCCCACACCACCCCCACCCCCCACCCCACACCCTCGCATACACACCCACCACTGCCTGCCACCACCCACATCCCCATTCCTCCCCCCATCACCCAGATCACATCAGATCAGATCCCACAATCACACATCAGATCAGATCCCACAATCACGATCACGATCATGATCACGATCACGATCACGATCACCCCACCACCCCACCCCACACCCCCTCCCCCCCCACACCCCACACCCATGACTGACCAGCACAGCGACTACTGCTACACATGTCAGGGTGGGGGTGATGTTCTCTGCTGCGACACATGCACGCTCTCTTTCCACTCTGGCTGCCTCATACCTCCACTCTCGGCCGCCCCGCCTGGCACATGGTCCTGCCCCGCCTGCGAGGTCGCTCCCCTCGCCCCTCCGCCCGCCTTGCTGCAGAGCCTGCGGCCACGCGGGCAGCCTGCCTCTGCCGCAGAACTGAAAGCTGCTCGGTCGGCTTGGCAAGCAGCCGTTCGCAAGAGAAAAGCTGAGCCTCCGCCTCATGGCGATTATCCTCATTCTCATTCTCGTTCCCGGCCTCGTTCGCGTCCTCGCTCGGCTCCTGGGTCTGGCCATGACGACGACCATGATGATGATGATGATGATGATAATGATGATGATGATGATGATGATAACGCTTCTCTCCGCCCGTGCAAGCGGGCAAACACAGGCCCGAGTCAGTTTGGTGCTGATGGTGGTCGTACTGCGAATCGTGGCCAGAGTGCGAGAGTGTCGCCGTCGCGAGGTCGGGCTCGGGCTCGGCAACGGGCGGCAGCTCCTCACGCCTCTAAGCCGCGATCAGAGGCGACGGCGCTGGAGCAGCTGAGAGATATGCGTCACAAGATGCGTATCGAGTTTGAGCGCCAGCGGAAGGAGCGGAACATTGTCCGTCAAGGCCAGGACATTGCCAACTCGCGCCTGGCCACCCTTCTGCAGATCATCAAGATTATGAAGACCAAGATTGAGGCTCAGGACCTCCGCCTGGCGCAGTTTGAGCAGCAGCTGGCCAACGTTGCTGCCCGCATTGGCCCTGCTCAGTTGCAGACAGAGCACCACGACACGCCCGCTCTCGAGCCCGCATCCACCATCGACTTCTTTGACGACGCCGCTGAGGAACCGCTCACCCAGCCGCGCCCAGACTCGAACCTCTCCTCTCCCATCATGTAGGTCTTTACTACGTCCGCCGCCCGAGATGCAACCGCTCACCCGGTGACGGCAGCGACGCCCGGAAGACCTCACGTGCAAGTGCAAGGTCCAGCATCAGCAGGTGGTACGCGTACCACGTCGCGAGCACATCGCGCGCCTCCTCCGAGTACAGCCGCACAAAGTTCGACAGCCGCTCGGTGGCAAGATCCACTTCGGATGTGCCTGCCAGCTTGCGGTTGAGCACCTCAATCTCGTCCATCACCGCTTCGCGCGTCGAGCCCCACAGCCGCTCCAGCCGCTCCACCAGGTCGGTCCCGCGCATGTCGCCGCCGGGCTGCCACGACGGCAGATGTCCGGCCTGCGCGGCAGCCACAAACCCGCCCGGCGCCATCGTCGCCTCCTCCGACCCGGCTTGGGCCACAAACAGCGCACGCGCCTCCGCCGCAGAAAACGACGGCGCCGCATGCAGGACCGTGTGCACAAACTCTTGGCAGTCGAGCTCGCCGTCGCCGTTCATGTCCGCCGCCCGGTACAGCGCCTGCATCCGCGCATACGTCGGGTCAAACACCTGCAGCCAGACCCCAACCGTCTCGCCCAGCACCGTGTCCACGTCCACAATCTGCTCGCCGTCTACACCCTCAGCCTCTCGAATCAGTACGGCTGCCAACTGTGCCATCGCCTTTTCGAGCTGCGCGGCCGCAATCCCGCGCTCCGCGCTCAGCGCCTTGTGCACTCCATCCAGCGCCGCTGTCACCCCGACACGCACAGGTTCGGCCTCGAGCGTCACCCCCGCATGGCCCACAACCTGCCGCAGTGTCGCCAGAAACACGTCCAGCACGTCCAGCGAGTATACTTGGTCAGCGCACGCAAGCCCGCAGAACCGCGCAAACATCGCCATTCGTGGCGACCCATCCGCACGGACACTCACCGTGTGCAATAGCGCCTTGAGGTTCGCCTCCGCTAGCGACCGCAGCCCGTACTCGTGCACAAACCATTCGTAAACAAAGATCTGGAACGGGATGTGCGGCATGCCAACCCGGTCGTCAGAGCTGTCCGCCGACATCTTGTCCGAGTAAAGCTGCCACACCCGCTGCAGCACCCACCGCAGCGGCTTTGGCCTTGGCGCCCGCCCGGTCTTGCTCTCGTTCGCCAGCTTGCCAACCATGTTCTTCCACGCGCGCGCCACCCCTTCTTCGCCTGCCGCTGCTTCGCCCGCTCGAACGTGTCCAGCTGCACCGTGCTCGTCAGCCGGTTCCGCATCGCGCTCACCATTGTGCTCGGCGAGAGCTCGCCGGCTTGCTCGCTTGACGTTCCTTCCTGTGACGGCGACCGCGAGTGCGAGCCCGACCGCGACCGCGTCAGCGACCGCGACCGCGACCGCGAGCCCGAGCCCCCGCCCGAGGTTCCCCGAGTTCCTGCCAGCCGCTCCACACTCCGCGCCACCCGGAGCACTCCACTGCCTCCACCTGCTGTGGTGATGACCAGTGACTGCGCGCCACCACTCCGCAGCCCGAGCTCGCCCGTTCTGCCCACCGCTCCAATCGGCGGCAGTACAGCATGCGACGAGCCAACCCCTCCGCCGACCGCCATCATGGCCTCAGACACAGAGTTCCGCATCCCCCTTGCTGCTATGGGCACCTCGTCGGCGCCCTCCTCCAAGCCGCTGCCACCTTCCGTCGACGCTGCCGCAAGCTTGACAGCTGCTGCACGCACCTCGCTCGTCTCGGACGCCCCGCGCGCCGCTTCCCGCCGGCTCCGCAACGCCCGCTCACGCACCGCTCGCACAGCCGCCGGAGCCGACGGCGCTTCACCGGTCGGCGGCCGCGGCCCATGCTGCGCTGCAGCAGTAGCCTGCGCCAACTCCGCCCGGTGCGCCTCTGTCTGCTCCCGCAGCCGGTCCTCGAGCTCGAGCACCTTCACCGCTAGTGCTGTCTCTGAATCCAGCGTGCTGCGACGCGGTGTATGTGGGAGCGAACGCGAGGCAAACGGCGCCACCACATGTGGCGTTGACGCGGAAATCGCTGCCGCTGCAGCCAGGCTTTGGCCGTCAAGCGGTGGGCTCTCACGTGATGCCACAGACATCGAGTCGGACCGCCGCATCGACGCCGAGTCGGAGCGCTGCATCGACGCCGACGACGCAGTCCGTACCAGACGCTGTTGCGTCTGAGCCAGCTGTTCGATTTGGTCCTTGAGCCGCGACCGCAGCGCCAGCAGCATGTTGTCGGCCGATGCCTGAACAGGCAGCCCACGTGCAGCCTGCATGCTCACTGTCAACGTTACGCCGTCTCCCGCTGTTTGCGTCGCGGCTACCGCCGTTCCGACACCCTCGGTTTGCGTCGCCACCGCCACCATACACACCAGCTCGTCGCCATCGTCGTCGTCGCTGCCTGACTCGGGTAATCTTCCCAAGAGCCCGCGGCTCCGCAGCAGCGCCTTGATGTCGCTGTCAATCTCGCTCTTGACCTTGAGCGCCACATCCGTGGGCGGCTCCGCCGCCAGCTCGGACGCCGACACCCCACCGCGTCGAGCAGCCGCGGTCGCCTTTTCGGCTGCGGCCTCCAGCCCGGCCGCACGCAGCTTGGCCCGTGCAGAGAGCAGCGCCTTGCGCAGGATCCTGACCTGCTGCTCCATCGCACGAAGCCGCGCGTTGGCCTTTGACAGCTGATTCCGCACAATCTGCTCCGACGGCGTCATGGCTCCGGCAATCGAGAATGACCGGTTGAGGCTTCCCGACTCGGAGAGCAGCGTCGACGACGCCGACGGCAAGCTTTGCATCAACGCCTCATCATCTCTGGCCACAGCCGACTCCGTATCAGACGTTTCCATGTCATCGTCGTCCCCGGTCTCACTTCCGCACTTGCTTGCACTCTCGCTTCCGCTCATGCTTCCGCTCCCGCTCTCGCTCTTGCTCCCGCTTCTCTCTTTCAGACTTGCCTCAGCAACCTCGTCCATGGCCGGCATGCCTTCCAGCGCCGCTGCAGGCTTGTCGAAAATTCGACGCGACGAGGCCGAGGGCATAAACTGAGAAAACGAGTGCGAGCGCGAACGCTGTGAGCGTCGCTCTGCACCCTGGGTCGAGAACGCGCGGAGCCGGTTGGCAGCAATGATAGAGTTGGCAGCCGACCGCAACTTGTCGGACGACGACGTACGCCGCGTCTCGCTCAGCATTGGTGCCCGCTGGGCCATCGGAATGCCTTGTTTCGAGCCAGCGCCACTCGCCCGCTGCAACAGCAGCTCCTGCATGGTCCGGAACGCCTTGTGCTCATTGGTGATGGCCTCTAGCCGAACGGCCATCCGGTTGAGGACTCGCTCAAACTTGTCGAGCGAGGTCATGTCCGAAGTCGCCATCGACTGCAGCAGCGGGTCGTCGGCCACTGTGAGGACCGACATGAGAATGTCGCGCGCTCGGTTGAGCACCTTGGCCGCCTCTGAGCCCCCGCTGCTCACCACTCCCAGACCGCTAGGCGGCCGCACCGGCAGCGATGTCGGCGACGGGGCCAGCGGCGACGACGGCGAGAGCGGCACGTCCACGCCGGGCACCGAGCCGGCCACCAGTGGCACATGCGTCGGCTCGACAATCGCTGCCAGCGTGGTGTCGATGTCCTTGACCGCAGAATCGGGCTGGGCCCAGAAAGACGGCAGGTGCGGGAGCGGCGGCGGCGGAGCCGGCCCAGCTGCCGCAGATACTGTCGTCGGTGACGCAGCCGGGGACACCTCGCTATCACTCACCTTGACGCCAACCGCAGCAATCGCTGCCGACGATGCCGAGGCTAGCTTGGCCTTGAACTCGGTCATGTCCAGCGAGGACGATGCTGCCGACGATGCTGCCGACGATGCTGTTGACGATGCCGACGATGCCGACGATGCAGACGACGAGTCGGATGCCGAACCAGTTCGCAATTCTGCTGCAGACTCGGAGCCTGATCCCGACTTAGTGCTCCCATCTGCCGATATGGCCGACGCCGACTCGCTGGCGCTGCATGCAGCAGCAGCCGCCTCAGTGGCGACCACCGCAGTCGGCACCTCGATCGAGACCTCTGCGACAGCGCCGCTCCAGTGCTGCGGCGGAGCATGCTGCGGCGCAGCACGGGTCTCGAGCTCGCGGTTGGTCCGTTCCTCGATGACGGCCCAAACTGTGGGATTGAGCAATGTATCGGCATTGAGCTCGTGGTAGAACTCGCGGAGGCCAACCATAGGCACAGTTGAGTCAAACTCGCTCTCGTCCGAGTCGTACGACTCGCGGAAGGCGACCGGCTCGGTCTGAACGCTGGCTGCAACTGCGCTCCTGGCAGCAGCCTGTCTGGCAGACTCGGCAACGGCGAATAAGCTGCCGTCGGTCTGGGTCGCTCGGTCGGCGAGGTGGGCGTCGGCGTCATGGCGCCTTCGATCGAGCTCGGTGGCAACGCGGGCAGCAACAATGTTCTCAATCTCTGCTGCGGCGCGAGTGGCAGTCGTCGACTTCGACTTTCCGCTAAGGGCCGCAGAGAGCTCGCCGAGCGAGGTTGTCCACCACGCGGACGGCGTCTGGGTGCCAAACGAGTAGGCGCGATCCAATGCGCCCGGCGCAGAGGCAACGGCGGCAACGGCGGCCGCTTCGCTGGCGGCCGCCGAGCGGCGGAGCTGCCTATTCTCAGCGAGCAGACGGTCAAGCGCCCGCGACTGCTGGGCGCATTGGTCCGTCAGCTCCTCGATCTTAGCCTCTGCGGCAACGCGGCCGATGGAGAAGCGCTCGATCCGCTGCTCGGCGTGCTGCAGCTTCCCGGTCAGTGTTGCGTTCTGCGACTCGAGCTCCTTCTTCTGAGCGAGGACGTCGCGAACAGCGTGGTCAAACTCGAGACGAAGTGCGTCGATGATGTCGTTGTACTTGATCCGCTGGGTCTGCAGCTGGTCGGTGAGTGCCCGTTGGGCCTCCACGTCCTCACCGGACTTGTCGCGCTGGACAAGCTTGAGAATACGCTGAAAGAGAGCCACATACTTGCGAAAGAGCTTGGTGAGGAGCTTGCCACGCGGCGCGCACTGGACGGTGACCTGGCGGGTGACTTCGTGGATGGCGATGGAGTAGATCGAGTTGGTGGCCGCGATGAGCTTGAGTGGGTCGTCGGCCTCTGCAGCGAGCTGTGACGTCTTTGCTTCGATCCACTCGTTGAGCAAGTCAACATCCCGCCGCGACGACGGAACAGCTCTGGGGAAGACAGTGGTGTGCCAGAGCCCATCGGCAGCCGAGTACACCGAGTCCGGGCCCTTGCCCGGCAGAGGCGACGAGGTCACCACGTAGTCCGACTTTGGGATTTTCGACGCCGGCAGGCCATTGCCAACACTTCCGCCTCTATTGGCTTTGCCACCTTTTCCGCGCCCTCCTCCACTGCCCGACCCAGCCCCGAGCTCCAAATGCGAGACATCCGCCCCAGCAGCGAGGGTGGCCGAGAGCGAAGCCACCAGGTCGGCGTCGGCCAGGTGCCTTCCGGACGAGTGGCTGTACATGGACATGACCTGGTCAGCAAGCGACGGCCCAGGCATACCCTCGCCATGCACCCGTCTCCTTCTCGCCAATGCTGCAGGGAACCTCTGCGTAGAGTCCATCCTGCCGCCTCGACGTCGTGACGTGGGGTGGGCCCGTGTCTTGCCCGCCTTGTCTCGGCTGTTTGATCGATCGCCGTCTGAGCAATCTCCCGTCTGATCGATCGGTGAGAGGGTGAGATGGGGGATGGGGGGGCCAGGGCAGGCGCGGCTAACGTGTCCGATACGTCGTGGTGGATGTCAATATCAGAGGCAGGTACAAGTAAAAGGAGTGTAGTAGATGAGTGAGATGGGGGAGTGGGGAGAAAGGGGGGGAGGCGCTCGTTCGTCCCTAGTCCAGGTACTCTGAGGGGTGATTTAAGCTGTGCTCTTGAGTGGTGTGAGCGGTCCGTGTGGGAGGGGAAGGGAAGAAGGCATCTTGTTGTATTCAAAGTGATATGTGACACACACGTAGTATATATAGATATACATGTGTACTGTACACATATACGGCTGCAATGACCTGAGATGAGGATTGACAGATCGTGATGTTGTAAAAGTGGCGACGCACAGCCGGCATGAAACAAAGTTGTGATCTTTGTTTTCTCGCCGTTGTTCCTCCACGACTGTGGCGGGTATATGGGGAAGATCACGTCCCTCAAACCGCAGCTGACTGACAAATCGACACTATGGAGTGGTAGGGGGAGACTTTCACGGACGTTGATGCGGAATGGCTACGCGTCGATGCGGCGGTAGACGGCGGGGTACTTGTCGCCGCTGTTGCGGGCCACCTTGATGCCCTCCTCAGTCTTGGTCATTGCGGCAACGAGGCACGGGTCGTCGGCGACGTCGGCGTCCGGGATGCGCTCAAAGAGCGGATGGGCGTCGAGGTGCTCGACCATCCACTGATGGAGGTCAAGGACGTCGGTGACGGTGTAGAGCATACCGCCGACCCTGAGGGTGTATGCGTACTCGGCGAGGAGGGCCTGGGAGATGATGCGGCGGCGGTGGTTCTTGGCCTTAAAGTGGGGTCCGGGAAGAGGAAGAACATCTTGGAGAGCTGGCCCTTTGAGAAAAGTTGACGAGGTGCTTCATCGAGTTGGTCCGAGTAACTGCAAGGTTCTGGCAGCCGTTGCCGTTGGCACGGGCGGCGACGATGCGCTCGTGGACGTAGGCCGAGACCTTGAGGCGGATTTCCATGCCCATGATGAGGGTGTCAGGGAAGAGTGGCGAGAGGGCCATGAGGAGACCACCGAATCCACAGCCAATGTCAGCGATCTCGACCTTGGGCATCTCTGCGTAGCTCATCTCGGGCTTGACAAACGCCGGGTACACCTCATGCCACGGGTACAAGTCCGGCTTGACCGGACTGCAAGAGAACAAGCCGCAGGAGCATGCAAGTATGGCGTCGACCAGGAGAGTCCATTGCCCAGTATAGCGCAGAGTAGCCGCGCCAAACCCGCCATCGCCCCCCCCCCCCAGCACCACGCCATGTCCAGCCCAGCCCAGCCCAGACCAGACCACCACCAACAAATCCATCACAACAGTAAGTCATGCCCCCCTCCCCCCTCCAGTCCCAGTCCCCTCCAGCCCCCTCCAGCCCCCTCCAGCCCCCTTCCAGCCCCCTCCAGCCCCCTCCCAGCGCCCAGGACGACAGAGGGCGGAGACCATCCCACCCCCTCCCCTCCCCCCTCCCCCCTCCCCCCCCTTCCCCCCTCCTCCTTCTCCCCATACAGGACGTACTACTTCATGGTGTGGACAGAGAACGGGTTAGAGTGTGCCCGCTGACGGTAGTCCCTCTTCTGCGGGGGGGCAACCACCATGTGTGTGGTGGCCGTGGCTGTGGCGGTGGTGCCGGTGGTGGCGGTGGTGGTGGCGGAGGAGGCAGCCCCGTCGTCCATGGGGGCAGTGGACATGGTTCTGGGTCTGGGTCTGGGAGTGGTGCGTGTGTGTGTGTGTGTGTGTGTGCGTGTGTGTGTGTATGGGAGTGGGGTGTGTGTGTGTATGGGAGTGGGGTGTGTGTGGTGAGGGTGGGAGAGGCCTGCCCCTGCCCCTGCCCCTGCCCCTGCCCCTGCCCCTGCCCCTCCCCCCTCCCACTGTTGTGCCACTATCACCTCCCTCCTCCCCCCCCCCCCCTCCCCCCCCCTCCCCCCCCCTCCTCACCTCATGCACCATATTCGCCTCTCTGCCACTCTCGCCGCCACCACTGGACTCTCTTGCTCCACCCTCTCTGCTCTAGCGCCTGTGCTGGCTGCTGCTGGCGAGGGACAGCTCGCGCCGCACCATGTCGTCGACCTAGCTCTCCCGCCACCGTCATGCACCTCATCGTCGGATGCTGCTGCCACGGCGGCACTGGCCACCACTCTTTCTCCGCATGATCTGCTTGCGGCTGCTGCTTGTCTTGCACAGGGCCTCGCGGATCTGCCCTTTGCCCAACACGTCGAAGATCCCGACCTCGCCCGCCACGCCTGGCCGCTCTTTGCGGCTCTGGCCTCTGTCGCTCCGCCGCTCGCGCTGCTGTTTGATCAGCTGCTGCTGGTGGCTGCTCTAGCCACGGCTGCTGCTCCGTCAGGCTCGGATCTGGCCGAGGCGCTGGCGGCACTGACTCGCCTTGCTCCGCGCGCCGTGGTCACCTTTCCGGACCTTGTTGCTGCCCTCCAAGCCGGCGGCGTCACTCCTCTTGACGGGCTGACTGTCGAGGCGCTGGATGTTGCTACTGAGGCCCTCTGTGCTGCCGCGCCGCTGGCTGTCCTGCCTGATGGTATGCCGGCGACACCGTGGACGCTTGCAGTGGCCGAGTCGATCGCACTCGCTGCCACCTCATACCCGCTCCTGCCGTGGGACGACATTGCGCTGTATCTCTACGCCGACGCAGGCACCGAACTGCTCGCTTGGGCTGCTTCCGGTGGCGGCGATCCGCTCCCACACGCTGCTGCACTCTGGCGGACCTTTGCTCATCTCACCCAGTTTCCCGCCGGCGACGTCGACGACACACCCGCGGTTGCCGCCATTGTTGCGGCGCTCGACCGTACCCGCCTGCTTCTCCTCGCCACCACCGCCGCGCTCCCGTCGGACTTGCTCGTCGACGGAAGGTCAGACTCGGTGTCGGTCTCGGCATCCAGCTCGCGCCGCCGCCGCCGTCGCCGCCGCAAGCCGCGCTCCCGTGGTGCCTCGCACATCACCTCGGACTCGCTCCGCCACCTTCTTCGCTCGGTCTCGTCGACGCCGGCCGGCCCGCTGCCGCGCCTCCCGCGCCGGTCGTCGATCACCGCCCGCCCACGCCCAGCCCCGCCGCTCCCGAGGGACGACTCACTGCCCGGCACTGCTCGCATCGCCCGTGTCGCCCTCTCGCCGTCTCCGCCGCCTTCGCCGCGCCCGGCCCTGGCTCCGTCACCACTGCCCCAAAACGACTCGCTCTCGGATCTCTCGTCAGGCGCCCTCGATGCGCTTCTCTCGGCCTCGGACTCGGCCTCTGTCGACGCGAGCGAGTGCCCGCGGCTTCCCGCACCTCCATCTCCTCCGGCGCCAACGCTGGTCATTCCGGCGCCGATAGACGCCATTCCGCACACGGGCGTGCCACAGCGCCGGCCCGGCGCTGCGAGCGTGCGGCGGCGCAAGCGCGCGGCATGGCGGTGAGCGCAACAAGGGAGATGTAGGTTTTTACTACTGAGCAGGCGCGCCGTCGGCGCCCGCCATCTCGGCACCGGGCGCTGATGCCCGGCACGAGCGCGCGACTGACTCGAGCAGCTGCTCGACCTTGGCGTCGCACGAGGTAAAGCCAAACGACCAAAAGTCGTAGCTCGCGTTCTTGACCAGCTTCTTAAAGGTGACCAGGAGGCCCCACGGGTGCGGACGCGAGACAATGAGCCGCTCGAGGAGGACCCGAGTGATTTGCTCGCGGATCTGGTCCGAGCTCGCCTCGGCAAAGAGGTGGAGAAGGACGCACGAAAAGTAGTGCGTGTGCGAGTTGGGGTACCGCAGCTGGTTGGCAATGGCGTTGAACAGATGGTACCGGCCCTCGGGATCGAGGTTTGCCGCGAGCGAGGCAAAGACGTCCATCGACGGCGACCGCGCAATGATGTTGGTCGTCATCGCCGCCCCAGCAGGCAGCGCCGACGTGGCAAAGATGCCCAGATGGAGGACGAGCGCGTTGAGCAGCCGCACGTCGTACGGCGTGTCGTCGATGTCGTTGGTCGGCAGCAGGAGCTTGGACGGGAGTGAGCCGAGGAACGACGCCGGCGACCGCTCGTGGAGGTAGTTGTCGAGCTCGACGCCGAGCCCGCCCGACGTGAGAATGACCCGGAACTGCGAGAGGACCCGCGGCGCAGGCAGGTGCTCCACCTTGAGGTTCGGCGCAAACGGATCCGGCAACCGCACGCTGCGCGGGTAGGCCGAGAGCAGCAGGTTGCGCATCTGCACGCACGACGGCGGAATGCCGTCGCAGAACGAAAAGTGGTACTGGCAGAGGAACTCGGGAAAGTCGTGCAGGAGGACCAGCAGCAGCCGCAGCGTCCCACGGTACAGCAGCTGGACCGCCGGCGCAAAGCTGGCACTCGGGTCGTCGTTGTCGCCGCCGTCTCCGTCGTCGCCGGCCTCGTCGCCGCTGCCCGCCTCTACGCGGAGCAGCGGGTTGAGGAACCGGAGGAGGGCAACCACAAGGTGCTGGTACACATGCCAGCCCTGGAGCTGGAGCCCCTTCTTGGCCAACAGGAGCTTGGGCATGAAGCACCGGTGCGAAATGAGGCCGAGCCACGCAAAGGCAAAGCCCGGAACTCGCTCCGGCCGCAGCTGGAGGAACGCCGACGAAAAGGTCGACAGAATCGGGAACGAGAGCATGTCCAGCAGCGGTGATTTGGTCGTCAGGTCGTTGAGCAGGTTCGTGAGGAGCCGGAAGTACGGCTTTTGGTTAAACGCCATCGGCTGCCGCTCGTAGTCGTAGAGAAGGACCTTGACCACCATAGCGAGGACTTGCCGGAGCAAATTAACCTTGGACGGCGAGTTGGCCGGCGGCGGACCGTCCACCCGGTTGAACCACTTGACGAGGCCGAGAATGAGGTTCGAGAGCGCGTCCACGCCATCGCACGCCACCTCGCCTTCGGCCTCCTTGACCAGCCACGCCTCCACCGCCATCTCGGTGGCGATTCGGAAGAAGAGCGGCGCCACGCCGTCGTCGTCCATCAGCTTCTGCACCTGCAGGTAGTGGACGTATCGCGCAAAGATGGTGTCCAGCGCGTTCTGCGCAGGCGTCTCGCCGCCGTCTGGCGAGTGCAGCGTCTCGCCCACCCCCAGCGGGCCGGCAATGATGCACGCCACCTCGGCGCCCGTCCCCACAAGACCAGCGTCCGACGAGAGCCGTGCCCACTCCTCGAGCACGTACGCCACACGCTCGCGCGCGTCAGGCGGATCGTTGTGGTCGGCAGAGCTCGACGCAAACGAGTTGACCACAAGCACGCCCGACATCGACGAGAGATGCGCCGGCAGCCGCGTCGACGCCGCCAGGCCTGGCGCTCCTCCCGTTCCACCGTTGGCCACGTCAAAGAGCGCAAAGGCGCCCTCAATGTTGCCAAACTGGCCCGGCGCAAGGCTCGTGATGTACACCAGCGCCTTGATGGTCGTCGGAAAGTCGGCCCGGAACATGACCGGCTCGTCGAGCGCAAAGCGGTGGAGAAGCCGGACCACAGACTCGAGCACGTTCGCCAGCGGAATCGACGTTCCCGGCGGCGGGTTCGCCGCCTTGTGCAGCTGCTGCGCGAGGTGCGCATCGAGCTCCTTGAACGCCAGCAGCCGCGCCACAATCAGCGTTTCGCCACAGTATCGTACAACGGTTGCCGGACCTCCATCGAGAGCAGCAGTCGCGTGATTTCCGTCGCCAGCGCGTTCGACGACTTGACGCCTGACGACATGACCAGCGACTGGAGCTGCGCCACGAAAATGTCCAGGTGCAGCGAGGCGGCCTCAGCCGATGACGGCTCCCACAGCTTGTTGTACAGCCGCCGCGCCGCGCCAAACAGCAGCTCAGTCCGCACCGCCAGCTCCTCGGTCGAGTGGAAGAACAGCAGGAGCCGAGACATGATGTGACTCAGAGGATGCTCGGCAGGCACCGCCGCCGCGCTCGTGATCTCCGCTGCCACGCACGCGTTGACCAGCCGCTCCACTTCCTCCACGTACTGCACAAACTTGTCCATCAGCGCCCGCGGCGAGTCCAGCGGCGACGGCACCCACGCGGCCGAGTCTAGCCGCTCGCGCTCGGCAGCGTACTCGTCGTCGGCGGCCTCGAGCCCGCCGTCGTCGGCGCCGACGCCGAGCGTCCCGCGCTCGCTCCCGCTCGCATCGCCCGGCAACGCCATAGCCATGATCGAGTCGGCAAACGAGCCGGCCGGCGCCTTGGAAAAGTCGGCGTACACCCGCGAGGCGTCGCCGGCCAGCCCGCCCGGCCGCGGCCGGAGCGGGTCCGGCAGCGCGCTAGGGTACCGCCCCGCGTTGAAGATCGACGTGTCGTAGTATGGCTGACCCGTCCGTTCGCGGTGCTTGCGCCGGACGGAAATGGCCGGCACGAGCGAGACGTCGATCTCGGCAATCGACTTTTCGGTCGCAGCCTGCTCCACCACGTGACACGCCAGGTCGAGGTTGTCTTGCGCCACCAGGGCCACCAGCGTGTCAAGGTTCGAGTGCTGTGCCTCGGGCAAGTTTGCCTGCAGCAGCGACCGCAGGTGGTTGGAGATCGAGACCCGCAGCGGCTCCTTGCACGTCACCAGCGCCAGCGAGCCCGAGAGGTACCGCACCATGTTGTGGGCCGCGGTCACCATCTTGCTCTCCTCGGGCTCCATGGCAAAGTCCTTGAGCAGGATCTCGCGGGCCGAGATGCACGCAATGGTCACCGAGCGCTTGACTACCGGACCGAGCATCTCCTTGATGCCGCGGTTGATGGCGAGGAGGACGCAGCCCTTGAGCTGCGGCTGCTGCTGGAAGAGGAAGATGCCGCGGTTGACCTTGACGTACTGCGCAAGGTTGGGGATGATGGCCTCGGCACCGTCGGTGCCCGACGCGGCCTGTGCCGCCGCCAGCGCCACCGGGCCAAGCGCCTCGTAGGTGGCGCTGTCGTCAGCGGCCGCGCCGCCCTCGGGGCTGGTCGCACCGCCGGCAGGCTGGACCACCGGCGGCGGTGCGACGGCGCGGCCCGACTCGGCCGCCGCCGCCTGCAGCTCGAGCACATGCCGCCGCAGCAGCGTCGCCGGCTGGATTGAGCCCAGGTCCAGGCCGAGGTTCTTGCACAGGACCTCGACCTGGAACTTGAGGTTGAGCTTGAGGCCCTCGACGTGGTAGAGCTCGACCAGGAGGCGGATGATGCCCATGAGCCACGGGTTGGGCGGGCGGAAGACCTTGGAGTCGACCGAGGCGTTGAGGATCTTGGCCACAAACGGAACAACAGCAATGAGGCGGCCCGACGAGTACGCGTCGAGGACAAGAGCCTTGAGCGCAAGGTTCCTGTGCAGGATCGGGCGGTTACGGGCGAGCGTCAGCTGGCCGAGCCACGAGCCGAGGTTCTTCAGCAGGCTCCGCTCTGAGCTCGAGGTCTTGATAAGCTCCGACTGGAGGAGAATGGCAATGTTGTCAAAGGTGCACTGCAGAATGGCAGCTGTCAGCTGCGGGAGGTCCAGAAAGTCGAGAAGCGAGAGGTAGAGGTCGTGAAAGTTGGGCTCGATCGAAGCCCGCTTGACCACCAGGTACTGGCAGAGGTACGTGTAGTGCTTGGCCTCGAGAAAGGCCTCGAGCTCGCGCGCCTTGCCGCGGAGCATCGACCGCGAGAGGTTGTTGAAAATGAACCGGATCTTGTCCTTGGACTCTTGGTCAAGCTCGGCGCCCTCGGCGGCGGCCTTGGCCTGGCCAGCGAGCAGGGTGTCAATGTTGGTCATTTTGGGCAACGAGGGGGTGGCTGGCGGCTCTGCGCCGCCGGACCCAGCTCCGGCGAGCGCATCAGGCCCAGGCGCGGGGCCGAGGCCCGACGCTAGCGACTCGATGTCGTCGGGCGAGGCGCCCGAGTCGCCGAGGTGCGGCATGCCCGGCGGGAGCGAGAACGAGGCGTCGGTCGTTGCCGACGCGAGGTCCGATCCTGCGCCCGGCAGTGTCGAGTTGGCAAGGATCTCCGAGATAAAGTTGACAATCTGCGGGTGGTTGGCCTGAATGTCAGCAATCTGGAGAATGCGCGAGCAGTACTGCGGCCACTCGTGGAGGCGGGCGGTAAACTGAGTGAGGGCACAGTAGCCAAACGAGAACATCTTGGACCCGTCGGGCTTGCGCAGCGCTTCGAGAACGTACCGGAGCGCGTAGCCGAGCGGGATGTTTGAGACCAGCTTGTTCTGGATGAGGGCGCCAAAGAGAATGCCTGTAGTCTGCAGCTCCTTGTCCGGGTAGCGCGGGAAGAAGCGATACTCGTCAAAGAGCGAGTGGATCATGCAGGCAAAGATCTCGTGCTCGCGCGTCACGCCCGACGTCTTGTAGTTTTGCAGCATGGCAACGACGGCGTCGATCGAGAGTTGGCCCTTGTAGATGCGCTGAAAGGTGGCGTTGACCTCGGCCTCAATCTCACGCGAAAACGACTCGACCGGGTCGGGCGTCATTTGCAGCAGCGCCGGGTTCGCCTGCACGCACGCCGTGTAGAGGACACGCAGCTCCGAGACAAGGACCGGCGGGAGGAGCGCGGCTGAGGCCTGGAGCGTCTTGAACAGCGACGAGACGGTGGCAAGAACAAGCGGGAGCGGGGCATCGGGCGAGGCTCGCGCCGACTTTTCCGGCGCGCTCGTGTCGCCAAGGGTGTGGGCCACAAGCGCAGGCGCCGGCGGCGCGCCGTCGGGCCCGGGCTCGGTGCCGGGCGTCTCGCCAAAGGCGCGCGAGCGGAGAAAGGCGATGCAGGCCGCCATAAAGGCCGGCCCGTGCCGCGAGATCGAGTCCAGCAGCCACTTGTCGAGGTTGAGGTAGTCGCGCCGGGCGGCGAGGGCGGCAATGTCGAGGGCAAAGGCAAAGTCAGGCTCGGCCTGATCGAGGAGAACGGCAATGCCCTTGTTGTCCTGCACAATGTCGAGGATGACGGTGAGCGAGCCCGGCGAGCGCGCGTACATGGCGGCCATGCCGTGGACCATGACCTGCGGCGCGGCTGCCCAAAGGGCGCGGAGGAGCAGCGCCGACGCCGGAAACGCTGCCAGGAACCGCGGCAGCAGCGCTGCGGTCACGTCAAGCAGCGCCGAGTTGAAAGTGAGTGACACGGCGAGCGACGGCGAGTTGATCGAGACCTCGGTCACAGACGTAGGCGAAGAGACACTCGACGCACTTGCGTCCGAAATCAGGTCCGAGAGCGAGGCCAGCCGCGAATTGTGGATGGCGCAGAGGGTGAGGAGGAGCGCCTCGGGCGCATCAGCGATGCCGAGGCCAAACAGCACAAGGACTTCGGCCCCGTGCTGCGACTCGCCGAGCCGGCAGAGCGTTTCTACCAGGTCGTGCGACCGCCACGCCGAGTTGGCACCCCCATGCAGGCCGGGGTCGTCATCGCCGCCGCTCGGCACCGTCGAGTCGGTGGCGTCGACGGGCATCACCCGAAAGTTGTCGGCGAGTATGGGGACCAGCCGCTGGGAGCGCGCAAAGTCGACAAGGTCCGGCGGCGCGAGAACGGCCTGCGCCAGCAGGGCCAGCTGCGCCTCGGTGTGCGTCCAGTGCGCAAAGAGGACAGAGAGCGGGAGCGAGGCTTGGGCCGAGCCGGTGCCGAGCCGGTAGGCGCGGACCAGAAACTCGAGGCCGTCCTGGTCGTGGATCAGAAACTTGGGCGTGTCGACCGACCGCAGAACGTTGTCCCAAACCAGGTGCGGCGCGGCGGCCTTGACCACGTCCATAAACACATCGAGGTTCCAGGACGACGACGGCGACGACGGCGAAGAGCGGAGGGTGGGAATGATGGCCGCGAGCGAGGTCGGCGGCGAGAGGGTGGTGAGGGTGGCGGCCATGGCAGCCAGAGCGCCGCCGACCATGGCCTCATCAAGGCCGCCAGGCGCGGCCTGGGCGAGGACTCGCTGCAGCGCCTTGCGCGAGTCGGCGCACCCGTAGCCAAGCTCGACCATAAACTCGCCAAGCTTGGAGGCCTCATCGGCAGCGAGGCCTGCGCCGTTGGCAGCGAGCGAGCCGCCGAGCGTGTAGTGGTCCGGCAGCGACGAGCGGAGAATGAGGGCGTTGTGGAGAACAGGCGGCGCCGGCGGAGTGAGCGCCGGCGGCGGGCCCGACGCCAGCGCCTCAAGCGCCGGCGATTTGAGCTTGCGCAGCCGCGGGACCAAGTCCTCCAGCACTGGGTCCGAAGTGAGGACAGCGACCAGGTCGCCAAGCTCGGGGGAAGGCAGCTCGGCGAGCGCGGCACACAGGTCCTCGTCCGCGCCCAGCGGGCCGGCCAGCTCTGAGCCAGCCTTGTTCGAGTGCGCCTGGATGACTTCGCTCACCGTGTCGCGCACAAACTGAATGCCCTCGGCCTTGAGCTGGGGAACCGGCGACTGCGCGAGCGCCACCCCGAGCCGCACGCGGAGCTTGAGCTTGGCCTTGAGCACAATCGAGAGCTGCGAGAGGTCGGCAATAGCCATGCCGCACCCCACAGCGTTGGCGTACGCCAAGCAGATGATCGACGACGCCCACTCGGCCGGAAGCGCCTCCAGCTCGTCGGCGAGGAGAAGGAACTTGACAATCTGTTCGTGGGCAGCGACCTGCGTCAGGTCGAGCTTCTGGAGCACCGTCTGGATGACAAACACATGGACCTCGACGCCATACAGTTGGATGAGCTGTGCGGTGCATGTCAGGCTCTCCCGGTGAGTCATTCCGCCTCGCCTCCTCTGGCCATCCGCCTACCACCGCCCGGCCTCGCCGCCAGCTCGCCACCGCCACCGCCTCTTTGCCACCGACCCCCAAAAATTCCACACAGCCGCGCCCGTAGCAGCCACGTTCCCTACCGAGCCTAGCCCGGGCGGGGAGGAAGGGGGGGAGGGGGGACAAGAGAGAGGCAAAGGGGGAAGCCCAGGGCCATGCTGGGTCCCTGCAGGGTGTGGGTGTGGCGCTGTAGCGCTGTGCCCTGCCTGGGGGGAGGCGGGGACAATGGAGGCCGCGAGGGGACGATCGAGGGTGAGGGACGCGGGCTGTGGCGCGGCGCGGCTCAAGGGAGAAATGCGGGAGGGGGGGGGGGGAAGGGTTGTGGGGAGAGGGCGGGCAGACGGGGAGGGAGGGGGAAGGAAGAGGGAGGGAGTGGTGGGGGTGTTACGTACGTGCTTGATGTGTGCTTTGCTTCTGTTGTAGTTTGTGGTCCGCAGCTGTGTGATAAGGTCGCGGACCTGCGCCGCCACCAGCAGCGAGAGCATGCTGCGCTTGAGCGACGAGTGTGGCGTGGCAAGAGGCTGGTATTCAATTGAATGACAACGTGCCATTCAATGGCATGCATGGGGGAGAGTCAGAGCTTGGAGAGCGGCGGGAGGGCCGAGGCGCTGCCGCGGCCCATCATAAAGGCCATGGCGGCGCGGGCGACGTCGCCGTTGTCAATGCGCATGTCGAGGAGGTCCAGCTCGCGCTCGCACAGTGCGAGCAGCGTAGGACGGTCGGCATCGCGGACCATGGCCTTGAAGAGGGCGAGCGAGTCGGAAGCGAGCGGCGGCGCCGTCATCCGCTGCGCACACTCGAGGGCGGCAGGGAGGACGTCGGCCGGCTCGGGCACAAGCGTAGAGACCCAGTTCGCGCGGGCAGCGGCAGGGGCGGTCAGCTTGGCCTGCGCATACAGCATCTCGCCGGCGAGGCTTGGCCCGAGGATCTTGGGCAAGAGGAGCGAGGAGCAGAACTCGGGAACGACGGCGATGCGGGCAAACGGGAGCCACATCGAGGCCGACTCGGCGGCAACGACCACATCGCAGTGAAGCAGGAGGGTGGCTCCGACGCCGACGGCCGGCCCGTTGACGGCAGCAATGAGGATCTTGGGAAAGGTGATGATCCGCGACATGAACCGGCCGACAGGCGCGTGCCAGCCGCGGGTCCGCGGAGTGGCGGCAGAGCGGGCGAGCTTGTTATCGTCGCCGTCGTCGTCGTCACTGTCGTCCGATCCCAGCGGCGGGCCTGCCATCTCCGCCATCTCCTTGAGGTCAGCGCCCGAGGAGAAGAAGCTCCCTGCGCCGGTGATGACCACCACCGCGACCTCGTCGCTGTGTGCGGCGTCGTCGAGGGCGGCGGTCATGTCGGCGTACATGGCCTGGTTAAACGCGTTCTTCACCGCAGGCCGCGCCAGGGTGATGACCAGCGTGTTGGGCGTGGTGGCCGGACGGGCCGTGGTGATGGTCGTGTACCGCATGTGCGGAGGTGGCGTCGACTGTGGCCGTCTGCTCCAGGGCTCCATTGCTGCAGCCGCGGGCTGGCTCCAGTCGGCTGGTCGGGCCCTGTGGTCGGTCGGCGGCGCGGAGGCAGGGGCGGGTGAGGGGGGTGGGGTGGCACACTCCACTGCTTCAACACATAGAAGAGTACGTACACGCGTATGGGGGGAGAGGGAGAAGCCGAAGGGGAGGAGGGGGAGCCGGTCCTGGATGTGGTCTAGGCGTGGTCGGCATGGCCATGGCTGGCGGCTGGTGGCGTGCCCCGCTCCGTCTGGGCAAAAATTGGGATCATCGCGGAGGGGGTGGGCATGGGCAAGGCGGCAGAGGGGCGGCGGCGGCGGCGGAAGAGCGTGCGGAGCGTGGTAGGCTGGCAGCAAGGGCATGGTGGAGAACGTACAGGTGGCGCTATAGACGTGCAGCATGGAGAGGAGGCCTCGAGGAATGCCGTGAGGACGAGCGGGAGGTCGGGGGAGCGGGCCGAAGCGGCAAGCCTCGAGGGGGCACGGGCGGCGGTGACTCACACAGCAGAGTGATGGGCAATGCTGGCGGCGTGGGCTGTGGATGGATATGTGGTTTTGTTGGGGACAATGGGTGGCTGGGTGCGGGAACTGCAGTGGCGTCGCTTGCTCGCAGTGCTGCGCACGTGGCGCGTGTCAAGACCATGTACCGCAACGTCCTCAAGACCACCATGGACTGGGCTGTCCACCGGCCGATCTTCTTCGAGAAGGCTGCCGAAGTCCGGGCTGTCTTTGACTCGCGGAAGGAGGTGACCGACTCGGTCGCCATCCAGAAGATGCTTCAGGAGGGCGACGAGTGGCTCTTTGAGCACCAGCATCCCGAGCCCTACGTCTGTACGTTCCTCCTCCTCCCTCCAACCCATTTCCCCTCTTCCTTCCCTCTCTCCCACTGCCCTGAACTCACGCCACATACCTGCTTCCCCTCGTGCAGTCAACGTCAACCCCGGCGGCTCGAAGCACGACCGCAATGCCCCGCCCGCCCCGGAGCTCTGCGTCGATCCGTGGGAGAACAAGGCCTAAGCTTGGTCTCGTTTGGCCCGCCCCCTGCCCAGCATCACACGCTCGCAGGCTGGGCTCATGCGCCCGGACTGGCGTCGGTGGACGGAGATCTGATCCTCCTCCGCTGGCCTCAGGCAGCGCCCCGCACACCCTCCCCCGTACCCACCCGCCCATCGTTACACAGCCACCCCCGCCCCACCCCCCACTCTCCCTTCACCCCATTTACGCCATGGCGTAGAGACGCGCAACAAACACATTGCGGCCAATTCTCTCCTCCCTCTCACCCACAGCGGACCACACAAACCTACGGGCGGAATAGCGTTGTCGAGAGTATTCGCTTGGCGATGACGGCCAGCGTCGCAAGTCGCGTCGAGCGAGGGCAGCTACGTCATCCTCGCTGCTCCGTTTGTTCCGGCCGGCTCGACTGCGGTCCCGATGTGAGCGTGCGCCTGCCGTGGCTGCAAGTACGGCTGCCGCGCGCCGCGGCGACCACGATGATGCGTGGGCCGTGTCGACGTCCAAGGTCAGTGGCGGCGCGCAGGCTTCGGCGCAGTGGACGAGCGAGGACCTCACCGCCGCCGTCGCCATTGCTACATTGTCGTCTCAGTCATGCTTATGTCCCTCCACTACGACTACGAGAGCGTCCGCCGCGAGCGCGCGCGTCTGGTTGTCGTCGCGGTGTGTGTGTGCGTGTTTGTGTGTGTGCGATATGTGTGCCACCAGAACCAAGGGAGGGTTTAGTTGAAGAGGTGGGGGAGACCGATGGCGTTGTAGGTGGCCTTGGCCGACTCCTCAGCAACCTCGTTGATGTTGACGAGGTCGGGCGAGCCGCCGTTGAGCGGATCGACCACGGTGCGGAACTGGCGGTCCTTGCCGGCCTCGATGAGGCCCGAGACGGCATCGGCGACAAGCTGCGGGCTCGGGGCGTCCTCTGCGGTCACGGCCTTGCTGAAGCCGTCAAAGAACTTGGCCGGGAACGAGGAGATCTCCTCGCCGTACGACGCTGCGCGCTCCGAGTCGGCTGCAGAGCTCATGGCGCCGAAAAAGTTGGTGCCGAATCCTCCGGGCTCGACAACCGAGACGATGATGCCGAGCTGGCCGACCTCGTAGCGGAGTGCCTCCGAGTATGCCTCGAGCGCGTACTTGGACGCGACGTAGGCGCTCATGAACGGAAGGACCTTGCGTCCGACAATCGACGAGATGTTGATGATGTGGCCCGAGCCCTGGGCACGGAGGCCCGGGAGAACCGCGCGGACGACGCGGTGGACGCCGACGACGTTGACATCGAGCTGCTGCGCAAGCTGCTCGGGCGTGACGGCCTCAGTGAGACCTGCGCCGATGCCAGCACCGGCGTTGTTGATGACAACGTCGATCGGGCCGGCTGCCGCAATGCCGGCCGCCACCGCGGCATCGACCGACTCGGTCGACGTCGCATCAAGCTCGACGACGTGCACGTTGGCGAGCGCGCGCAGCTCAGCCGCAGCCTCGGCGTTCTTGCCCTCGAGGTTACGCCCGGTGGCGATGATGGTGTGGCCCTGCGCAGAGAGTGTCTCCGTGATAAGCTTGCCGAATCCGGACGTGGCGCCGGTGACAAAGATGACCTTGGACATGTTGATGGAAGAGTGTGTTGTAGTGGATGTCGAGATGGATTGAGTGAGCTTACTCGCTGGCAGGCAGCGGTCTTATACTGCGACAGGAATCTCTGACGCCAGCCATGATTGCCTATGGCGCCATGGAGTGAAGAGTGGCGGTTTTAGTTTCTCCGCCCGCTGCAGGGGACTCTGATCTTGGGAATCGGGCGCATGAGGCCGATAGAGACCGCATATGAAGATACAAAGAGTATCAACCGCATGGCTGGGAAGCGCTGTACGTGTAGAGCTGGATAAATGTCTGAGATCGGTGCGTGAACGTGTCGAATACGCAGCGATGTGGAGTGGCGACTCTTGGAGCTGTCACCGATATTGGCTAGTTACTAACTATTTTGCTGAGCAATGAGCCCGGGCAGTCGTGTTGTTCTGTTGCGTGCACCGTGCGGCGCGAGGCGGTTGATTCTGAGTGTGTAGCTGGGTAGCTGCTTGCTTGTGTGCTTGCCTGGGTGTGTGGGGACCAGCCCCCTGGTCGTTGTGGTGGGTGTGTGGGGGCACCGGCCGCACGCGGCAAACGTAAAAAGTATCAAATATTGTTGTCGAAAAACCAAATATAATAGTTTTATATATACTGAACTGTGAAACATGATATATTTTTTAAAACTGCCATGACAGATATATATCTATAGTTTTACAATACTACAATTATATAATATTAGTCCACAAGTTACGTCTTTGTTAGGCCCTTCTTGCGCCTGTCAGCCTCTCCTGGGAGGCCCAGCTGGTTTCTCCCCTATACTCTATCTAGAGACCGTTCTCACTGATGCTACTATGCGCCTTTATTAGTACATACTGCAGGCTACACGTATCGCCTATGGTCATACTGGTACTTGTGCGAGACAGAGCGTTAGAGCGAATCGCGCGACGCCGCTCTCCGTCGCCTCGCGACCTCCTAATTCCTTCATGACGCCATCGAACAAGACTGCCTCCGCCTTACAGTGGCGAAGTCGCCCACCCTGCCCCCCACACTGCACTCAATATCCACGGCCATGCTCACGTCAATTGTCTCGAACCTCACCCGCCGTACCGCACTCGCTACCGTGTCTGTGGCCCGCAGCGCCACCCCGGTCCCGCTCGCGCGCACGCTCTTCTCGAAGCCCTCCGCGGCGACCAACGCCCGCGCGGCAGGAACGACGCCGGCGGCAAACGGCGGCACGCCGCCGCCGCCGCCGCCGCCGCCCGAGTCATATCCGAACGCTCTCAAGTGGCTCCATTGGGGCGTGGCAGCAACGGCCGGGCTCGGATGCGTCGGCACCATCCAGATCCGGCGACAGCTGGTGGACAAGGACGACAAGGAGATGCACGGACTGCTGATGACGGTCCACAAGACGTGCGGCCTGCTGACCTTCCTCGCCATGGGACCGCGCATCGCCATCCGCCTTCAGGCGTACCTGGCCAAAAGATCCCGGCACCTCTTCCGGGCTCGGCGGTCGAGCGGCTCGGCGCCGACCTCTCGCACAAGGCGCTCTACGTGCTCGTCTCAGGCATGGCCGTGTCTGGCGTCACCATGGGCTACTTTGGCGGCAAGGGCTTGCCATTCTTTGGTTGGACTATCCCGGGCACCGATGCCCCGCGCAAGTCGCTGGCCAAGAACGCATACTGGCTCCATTCAAACGCCGGCCAGGCTCTCACCTACCTGCTCCCGCTGCACATTGCCGGTTCGGCCTTTCACTTCTTCCGCGGGCAGGCCATCTTTGCGCGGATCAACCCCTTTGCATAGTCGGTGCCTTAAAGACATGCTACGCTTACTACGGCGCCAGATAGAGCGACGGCGCAAAGGCAATGTCGCGCTTGATTCGCAGCGACGCGTCCTCCATCTTGGCAAAGAGCTCGGCGTTGCCGATGACCCGCGCAGCGTTGCGGACTTCACGGCAGGCGTCATCGAGCCGCACGATGCAGCGGACAATCGAGCCCTCGAGCACGTCGGTGAGCGCACAGATCTCGACAAACGGCTTGCCGAGCGCCCACTGGTAGACAACCTCCATGAGGCCAAAGTTGAGCGAGTTGGCAACGTACGCCGCCGGATCGAGGTCGAGACCCAGTTCGGCCTGCAGCAAGCCGAGCCTTGTCGTGAGCTCGACGAGGGACTCCTTAGCCTCCTTCAGCACTTCTGGCAGAACCGGCTCGACGTCGGTCTTGCCTTGGAAAAGCAGGACCGAGAGGAGCGCCACAATGTGCGCTGGATCGAGCCCGGTGAGCATGTTGTCAAAGATGAGCTCGGCCACAATGAGCTCGTCGCACGCGTTGATCTCGCACGCCACCCGGCCCTTGAGCAGGACTGTCTCGTCGTCCGACACGTACTGCAGCATTTGCAGGACAGCAACCCGCTGCTGGTAGTCGGGCATGAGCATGAGCGAGTCGTCTGAGAGGCTGTTGGCGAGCGCATTGGCGGACTTCTTGAGCTTGTGCTCGTGCGCCGCCCGCTCAAACTGTGAGCAGAGATGCGGGCAGGTGTGGCACTTGGACGCCGAGAGCGCGGCGACAACCCGGCTGTATGCCGACTCTTTCTCCGCCACGTCGATGTCGCCCAGCGAGCCGCTGCTGCTCAGCGTCGAGGGTGTGACAATGTCGAGCCGTGCCGGCGTCTCGCCGCCAGCCGTCGTCGCGGCCACCTGTGCCGCGTGGTTGTACAGCAGTACGGCGGCGTCCGCCACCGCATCGGCGTCGCGCTCGTCAAGAAGCTTGCGCGGCGACATGCCGTCGAGCACGTCGTGGGTCACACCGCGGATCTTGGACGCCTTGATCGAGACGACCGAGCCGACAAACCCGCTCCGCGGCGGGAGCCAGAGCCCGGCCCACGGATGGATGACCACCTCGGGCGCATTGCACTCTTCGGCGTAGTCGAGGACGAGGGCATGGACCACCGAGGTCGCGGCCGAGCCGCTGGCGCCGAGGTCGATGCCGCCGAGGAACGATGCTAGCGAGGCCGACGCCCTCGGCGCGCCCGCAGCCGCGGCTCCCGCCACATCAACAAAGAACCGCAGGACCACTCCGAGCGTTGGCCCGTACGGCGAGTCAAGAACCACCACCCGTCCGCAAGTCAGCAGCGAGCGCGACGCCCGCGAGCCGAGCACCGTCGCGTTGAGGTAGGAGCCGAGGTCGCGGCCCTCGGCCGCAAGCAGGTGGTACTCTTCGATAGCCGGCGCCGTGCCGTCAAGGAGGCAGGCGATCGGCTCGAGCGCTTCGAGCTCGGCAAGCTGCGACTGGAGCTTGGCCACCAGCTCGGGCCGCGCCGACGCGTTGTCAGCCTCGGAGAACGAGCGCTTGATCATGTCTTCGACCTTGAGATCCTCGACCCGCAGCAGGTTGAGGATCATGTTGTAGGTGAGCCGGAACTGCGACTCGAGCGCGTACGGCTTGCCCAGAATCATGTGGATGAGCTCAGAGGCTTCCGGCAGCGACTTGGCAGCATTGATGATGACTGTGCCGACAGTGTCGAGCCCGCGCCGCCCGGCCCGTCCAGCCATCTGCGTATACTCGCCCGGAAGCAGGCCGCGGAACTGCGTCCCGTCGTGCTTGCGGAGCTGGTTGAACACCACGCACTTGGCCGGCATGTTGACGCCCATGGCAAAGGTCTCGGTGGCAAACAGGATCTTGCACAGCCCGCGGCCAAAGAGCATCTCCACCATCTCCTTGACAATCGGCAGCATGCCGCCGTGGTGGACGCCGATACCGCGCTTGAGCAACTCGCGGGTCCGCAGGACCTGCGGCAGCTCGCGGTCGGCAGGCTCGAGCCGCAGCAGACACTCCTCGATGAACCGGTGGATGGCCGAGGCCTCGGTCGACGAGACGAGCGAGATGTTGGCGAGGCCGCCGGCCACCTGCTCGCACACCTTCTTCGAGAATGAAAACACCACGCACGGGAGCAGGCCCTCGGCTGCCAGGAAGCGCACCATGTTGTTCCACTGCTCGCGCGCGGCCTTGGCCTTGAGCCGCCACTGCGGTTGTCCGCCCCGCCGCGACCCGCCCGAGCTCGATCCGCCGCCATCCTCAGCCTCGGCCCGATGGAACTTGCGCAGCGCCGCCGAGTAGCCTGCGTCGTTAAAGTTGCGCCCAGCGTCGACAAGCGGGAAGAGCTCGTCGCGGACAAAGGCAAAGTGTGCGAGCGGGACTGGCCGCTTGTCGGTCGACACCACGTACACTGGCCGCTTCTTGGTCCGCCCGATCCAGTCTGCAAACTCAAAGGTGTTGGCCACCGTGGCCGAGAGCATGATGAGCCCAACATGGTCTGGGAGCATGATGATGACCTCTTCCCACACCACTCCGCGCTCGAGGTCGTTGACGTAGTGGACCTCGTCGAAAATGACCCACTCGACGTCGCGAATGAGGTCCGCACCCTTGTACAGCATTGACCGCAAAATCTCCGTCGTCATGATCAGGCACGTCGCCTCGGGATGGATCTGCACATCGCCGGTGAGTAGACCGACGTCGTCAAAGGTCTCGGAAAAGTCGCGGAACTTTTGGTTCGACAGCGCCTTGATTGGCGAAGTGTAGATCGCCCGCGTCATGTGCTTCTGTGAGAGCGAGATGGCGTACTCGGCAACCACCGTCTTGCCAGCCGAAGTGTGCGCTGCCACAAACACGTTCTCGCCGCGCTCCAAATGCATAACCGCGCGCTTCTGGAACGGATCCAGCTCGAACGGGTACTTCATCGCCATGTCTGGCACCACGCTGTGGAACTCGGACGTGTTCGACTCGTCCAGCACCGCCCACTCGGCCGCACTCTGCTCATCCACCACCCGCGTAAAGCCATCGCCCTCGTCGGCCTCCACCGCCCAGCCCGACGCCACACGGTTGCCGCCCGAGCTCTTCCCGTCCTCCACCTTGGTCGACGCACTGCCCTCGAGCACCGCGTCGGCGTCGACGTCGTCACCGACAAACGCCGCCAGGCCGAGCGATCCCGCTCCACTACTCCGCGCCCCGACCGGAAGCACCGCTTTGGTCCCGGCGCCAGGCGCAAACGGCCGTTGCGACGCCGAGCCGCGCACAAACGAGCCCGCCGCCGACGGCGCCCGGAGCAGTGAGCCCGAGTTGGCCGCGGTCTCCTGCGCAGCATCGGCGCTCGCCTCGGCGTACCCGGTCACAACCGGCACACTCGCTCCATCGGGTACCACGGCAAAGAGCGGCTCAATCCGGGTGCTCGGGCCCGAGGTCGGTGCGTCGAGCAGCGACGAGAGCGCCAGCTGGTAGTCGAGCGAAGTGTGCGGGGCGCCTGCGCCTGCCGCGCCCTGCAGCAGCGTGTAGTGCTTGCTCATCCCGTTTCCCACCACCACGTCCATGTCTGGCACACCCAGCGGGGTGTCTACCGTCGAGGTCGCCCATGCCTTGCCCGCCCCGCCGCACAGGCCGTCCACCACCACCAGCCCCGCCCCGCCCGTCGGCCCGCCGTGTTCCACCATCTCCAGCCCGGCCAGGACAGGAGGGACTTGGTAGCCACCGCTGCTTGCGCTCCCAGCCCCCGCCTCGGCACTGGCCTCGGCGTCGAGCTGTGCAAGGTACGACACCACGTCCATGCTGTGTGACTGTTGGCAGAGGACTTGTGCTCGCCCCCGCCCCTGCCCCGCCTGCTGCTGCCCCTGGCACTGGCACCCGGTGGCGAAGCAAGGCAGCGCACCGAGCCGAAACTGGTGCCGGCTGCTCGCCAGCCAGCCAGCCAGCCAGCCAGGCCGCCCCCCCCCCCCGCCCCCCCTCTCCATCCCTTGCTTCTAGGCTCGTCTCTAGTTTACGTTCCCCCCTCGACTACACACTATGCTGCAGCTGTTGATGCTGTCGATTGCGACCTCATTGGCCCACAAGCTGCAGCAGCGTACCGGCAACTACCAGCGGGTCGGGCGGCGCGGCGCCGGCCTCGAGCTGCTTGGCCGTCGTCTCGAAGAACATGTCCGGATCGACATCGTCGAGATCGTACAGCTCGGCGCCGGCCGGGAAGAAGAAGACGTCCACGCCCGAGCTGCGGAGCTCGGTTCGCATCGTCCGGGCAAGAGCCTCGATGGCCCACTGCGTGGCCGAGAACGCGCCAACTCCGGCACTGTCGGTGCCCATGTCGAGCGGCGTCCGCGACATGAAGATGATCGAGCCGTGGCCGCGCTTGGCCATGTCGTGCGAGACCGTCCGCGCAATGCGGTGCTGGCTGGCGATCCGCTCGTCAAAGTACGCCATCAGCTCATCGGACGATTGGCCAATCTTGCCCGTCGCCGACATGAGGAGGAGGACGTCGATGGGCGAGCCGGCTGCCGCCGCTGCCGCGTGCAGAGCCGACTCGATCTTTGCGTCGTCGGCACTGGCATCGAGGCCGATGACCACCACGTTGGGCAGCTCACGCAGCTCCGAAGCAGCCGTCGCGTTGATGCCCTTGATCTCGCGCATGGCCGCCACCACCGTGTGCCCTGCGCCCGAGAGCGTCTCCACCATTCGCCGGCCGAACCCGGCCTCGGTCCCGGTCACCAGCACCGTCTTGCTTTTTGTCGTCGGTACGTCCTTGGGAGTGTAATTCTTGATTCCAAACATATTCTCTTGTTCTTGTTCTACTTGTTGTTCTGTGCCCTACTCTGATTGTCCTGCCTCACACCGCGGCCTGCGCGTTTTTATCACGCCGCGCGCGCATCGCTGCCCGCCCCGCGTCACCACCACGTCATGCCCGAGTCATTCGTCAGCAGCCCACAGTCATCCGCAGCCTTCCACAACCATCGTGCACCCATTCGTAGCGTCCCATAGCCATCCTTATCCATCCACAACCATCCCCTTATCCATCCACAACCATCCCCTGGCCATCTGCAACCAGAGGTCATTCCATGCCATGTATCCCACTATCGCCCCCTGCTCCCCCCCCTTCTGGCCTCCCTCCCCTTCACCACCGCCAACCACCGAGCACCCACACACCTTTACTTGGGGTTCTTGAGCACCAGCACCACACCGGCACCACGGAGGAACATCTTCGACACAAACATGTCCTTCTCCACGTCCTCCGCCCGCTTCACCCCGCGGCCCTTGCCGCCCTTCTCGGTCCAGAAGACCGACACGTTCTCCAGCACCATGTTAAAGTGCCGATCAAAGGCCCGCACCCTTGCCAGGAGCTTGCGGTTGTTCCGCAGCGCAATGAGGACCTGCGTCGAGTTCTTCACCGCATCCGCCAGCATCGAGAGCGGCCCGGCCACACCCTCGCCCTCTTTGGGCACTTCAGGCTGCTCCAGCTCCATCCTGTCCACGCCCGCACCAGCACCACCAGCACCACCAGTCACAGCCACGGCGCCCAGCCACCCCGCGACCCCCGAACCAGCACCACACCATCATCCAGGCGCGCCCCAATGCCCTGTGAGTCACCCCCCTCCCT